CTGCAACAGCTTTTCCTCGATGCCAAGCTACCAAATTTGTCTCAGGCTGTCACTACGCCGGTCTTTGGACTGTTACACAGGGCTCCCGCGAAGCTATAATCTGTGTCAGCATGCATACCCTGGCCCGCACACAGGAACGGATTACTTCAGGATTTTTTGAAAGCCGATAGTGAGAGGGTTTCGGCTACATAAACCGGACACCGCGACTCACTCTGTTCTCCCTCAGGATCTATCTCCGACTCTGTCCTGCGTTCAACACCACACTCTCGTCGCAACCTTACCACCATGCGTGCTATCTCGGTCGCCACGTTCATCTTTTCCACCCTTGGCCAGATCAACGCTACTCCAGCTCGCCGAGACGGTTGCGGGAGCCTTTCGGGTACAGGCGACGTGTCGAACTTCAAGCTCTCCGCCGTTCACCAAGTGGGCGACGCTATCACCACACCCGAGCTAGCGCTCATACCGGAGACACCGTCACTGTTCAACAGCTGGATTGGGGTCAGTTTAAGATGTCAGCGCTAATATCCCGATGTCTGACTCACGGCACAGATCTCGAGTGAAATCGAGACCACTTTCAACATGACGGATGGAGGCATTACGAGTAATAGTGGGGCCGTCTCGCAGTCAGTCACAGACAGTGACCCGCTGTTCTTTCTCTCTCATGTGGAGATACCACCTTTTGAGGTGTACTGTTCCGTGGTGCGTTATTGCCTATCCTTCTGTCCCGGTGCCGACTAATGGCGCATCGTATGGAACGATGGCTCAATCTCCCTGCCGGGTGGCAACGAGAACATCTCAGGTCTTCTCGGAGTCCTTGCTGTGAATGGGTATGCCAACAAGTTCAGTCTATGCACGTCAGATAGGGCGGGGAGTGAGGATCTGCAGCTCATCGTGTATGACCCGCAGGCTGACGATGCCGAGTTCTTCGACTTCTCCAGCTGTTCGAGTGTATACGTCGTGTTGACTCAGGCTTAACTGCATGCAACATATGTACTCCTCTGAATACAATGAACAAGTTATACTGCGATGCTAGTGTATGCATACGCTCTCACACACAGCGGATAGATCAGACAGCCACAGGAGCTGACGATGCGGTACTGTCCGCGAACTATGAGGTCTAATCGAGGACGGCTAACCATATTAGTGCATGCGCTCGAGAAATACCCTATACGTGACTTTGAAATACAAACAGCGCTCTTGAAGGCTTTCTTTACCCGGCAGGAAGGAGGGTAATGGCGCGGCATACTGCGATCTGCAAGTCACGCGGTCGCGTTTCCCATCTCGGACCGGGCAGCCGATGCTCATCAACCATCGTTGGTAAACTTACACTGCCGAGCTTCGTCTGCACGGTCATCATCCCGTATACGCATGCTGCAAGCTATAGTAGCATCTCATCCGCGAGAAGCCGTATAGGACTCAAGCTCATCACCGAGCCTTCGGAGGACCGGGTGGTGTTGCTCTTGCGTTGCGACTGGAGAGTGCTGGAGGATGACGGATTCGCTCTTCGTACGTTCTCGAGCAATTAAGATCTTAATTTCGGACTGACAGTCGCTTTGTAGGTGTTGAGTTCTTAGAGGGACTTAGAGTGTGGCGGAAGAGACCCCTGCTACGCAGATTTTGGACTCGGAGGATGACACGGATAATATAGCGGTGCTCGTAATGCCATGGCCTTCTTCCGCTGAATGCAAGCCGCAGTGAACAGCATCGGCCAGTCCTGTGCACCGTACAATCCGTCGTCCAATGCTCAGCAGCGCCTTTCATGGCCAAGAAGCAACGGCACAACTTCTCTTCCGGGCGAGAACCATCTCAGTTTCCTTGGCGCCTTCGGGCTTACGATGTCGTCTTCCTGTCACCCAAGATGTGCCATGCATTTTCCTTTGCTTTTTCGTTGCAGTGCAGAGCGAGCACGCTCTTGGCAACGGTATTTGCAACTTGCACAGCAACCAAGTCACGTTGCCGTGTCCTCGTCGGCTATATCCCACCGAGCCGGTCGATGGCCAAGTGAGACTCCGCTTTGTCTTCTACCTTGACCTCCTTCGACTCGAGTCTCGCAGCCATGGATGGAAGCACACAACTTCTATATAACTTCGTCGGACTACTTGGATCAGCCACAGGGGCGTTGGTCGATCTTGCTCGGTGCGTGATCCTTCGAGATTTATTGCTTTTCAGTAACCAACCCAGGGCTTTAGGACCTTCCAAACGCCTTCTCAACCACCCAATAACCCATTTCTATCCCTTCCATACGACGTCCACTGTGAGCTACTATCATGGCTCGCAGCCCTCGATCCCCCCTCTTTCTCTCGGGACCAGCTGCGCGGGTATCGCGTCAAGCATCTTGGGTGGATTGCGCTCGCTCAGACATGTCGGAGTCTGAGGCTGGTCGCCCTCGAACAGCCACAGCTTTGGGCACGAGTAGTCTTGGTACCGACATCCGAGCAGGCGCGCTCGATCTTCTTGGAACGCTCTGGTGAAGCTGGTTTGACCTTTCGCTTCAACGGAAACCTTCGCCATCCCTCGGAACACGGATGGCTCATCCAGCGGCCCGGGTTCTCGCAAATTATTGGGAATTCGAGCGATCTTGACTTCTGCGCCCGACATCTCCACCAGGCCGCGGAGCTCAGCATCTCGGTTCCCGTTCAATGGCTCAGTAATCTAACGGGGGCGCGCCTACCGCTATTGCATACTTTGCACCTCTGTGCATCGGACGCCGCTTTCACGGATGTTCCCCACATGCCCTCTGAGTGGCTCGAGGCTCCCAACCTCATCGGTGCAGCATTCTGTGACACCAAGCTTCCCCTCTATGCTCCCAAGCTGCGTTTTGTAGCGTTGCAAAACTGCAACTGGGTCCAGCAACCAGATACGATCCCTCCATCCGCCATTTTTGGCCAGTTACGTGCCGCCCCGCTCCTAGAAGAGGTCAAGCTCCATAACGTCCTCACGCGGAACGACTATCCACTAGTCATGGATGAAGGATCTCCCATTGAGCTGCCCTTTCTGAAGCGGTTTTGCTTTCGAGGTTCACTATCGGGGTTGGAAAGCCTCATGGCTATCCTGAGGATACCCAGCAACGTGTCACTCGACATAGAGTTCTGCGGCGATTTCCTCACACCCCCAGTGGAGACGTGTCCGTTGTCGACTCTTGTGCGCAGATTGGGAACGAACTTTCACAAGCACGCCGATCCCACCATGCGCTTCTTTGAGCTATCGGTTTATGACGGAGTTCCTGGAGAGCTCCCGTATGCCTGGCCAGGCATGTCGCAGACACCATGGACGCGTATCAACCCTGCTCGTATGGAGATAGACCGGAGTCAAGTTCTCAACATGTGCATCCCGCGCTTGTCAGCCGCAGGAGTATCAGTGCACCCGAGCGAGCCTGTATACGCTCCCGAATTGCGCGCAGCCCTCTACATGGGCGTGTTTACGCCATTCAACGGGTCCCAACTCCGCATGCTCGCCCTTCGCCACATCATCCCGAAGCTCCCGCTCGAACGCGTACTTCACCTGTTACGCAGTTCACCCTGTCTTTCGGAGCTGTATCTCGATGAGGCGTTCAGTGCTACAGCCGAAGAGCTTATGCTTGGCGATGCGGACGACGTGGCCTTGCCGAGTCTGGCATACGTAGTGTACCGTGGCGCCTTCAGCACGTTCAAGGCGTTGTGGACGCGTCTCGATGTTCCCGCGACGATGTCCCTTCATCTGGTTTTCCTGGGCGAGCAGATCGCGAGCTCACCAGAGGATCGTCAGTTCTTGGGTACACTGTGCGCACAGGATACGCGCAGCACTACGCTACGCCTCTCGTACCTCGATCTTGACTGGAGTCTACACGGCTACTTTGTACACTGCGCGTCGCGACGCGTCTCTGGTACCGCAAAGCGATATACTACCTTCACGGAGCAGCACGTCTCACCCGGCGTCCATCTCTGCTTGAACCAGCTCCGGTCCAAAGGAGAACACTCGTACATGTACCATAACTCGCAAACTGTCATGGACACTCTGCTGTCTACCATCGATTGCGACAAAGTCGTCGCCGTCGAGTTTGACTTCGCTTCACTCGCGCACCTTCGCGGGGAGATTAAGACCGTCTTGGAAGGCTCTTTGCGCCGCCTCCTCCACGTTCGACGCATCGCTATCTGCCACAGCGCCCCATTGGGACAGTTGTACAACATCCTTGCCACGACCGGCGCTGCATCATTGGGCACCCGCGCAACGCATTGTTTCCCGCAGCTTGACAGCATCATGGAGCGGCAACCCACCCAAGACGATCGGGTTTGGATGGATGAGCACCGCAGACTGCACGGGTATCCGCAGACGCAGTGGGCCGCATTGCAGGGGATGGTGAGGGACAGATTGTGGTTCAATAAACCCATCCGTTATGTGGAGGTGCTGAAGCCTCTCAACTTCCTCTCATGCGGCGAAGACCCGGACGTGGCAGCGACAAGCTTTGAGGACAATCTTGCGTACACGCTTACTCTCGGCTGTGATGTACTCGTCGGCGAACTGTCGTAGACTATTGTCCATTTGCATAAGATTCAAAACTACTGTTACACTGATGACCATACACGAAGCTAACGAATCCGCTACATGTCAAGCTCACTGAGCGTTCACGTCGCCCAACGAAAGCCAGAACCTATGGTGTGCATGAATAGGTTGCATCAGACCAAGCAATGCAGTGACCACTCACGCGCAACGCTCGAGCAAAGCGTCCGACGTCGGTACAGTCGTGACTTCGGGTTCTCCCGCGGTGGTCATGTTGAACAGCATTGTCTCGCCGGTCTGCTTGAAAGTCGGCCACTCGGGTTTCAAGTCGTCCGCGTCGTGAGCATTCGGATCAAGAGAGATAGCCGTCGAGAAGAACGAGCTTTGGAAAGACGAGATGAAAGCACTGTTGTTGAAAGTTGGGAAGCCTTGCACGGAGCTGTTGCGTCGAGTGAGACGTGGGAGCTTAATGAGTAAACAGAACACTTACTCGGCAAAGAGGAATGCCAGTTCACTGCCATGTGTACCAGGAGGTATAGCAAACTCGCCCTGCAGCAGTGAGTAAGTAAACGCGAGCCAGACGCATCGAAACTTACCTTCCAACCACTAGCACTGGGGAAAGCATCCAGGACGTAGAAAGCTGGGCAGACGAAGATGGAATCGCCCATCACGAACGCGGCTTGTTCCGGCACAGTTGGAGCACTGACATCGGCCAGGTTGGAGTATATAGCCACGGCCTGCTGAATGGAGGTGTCGTTCATGCGGGGGAAGAGGTTTGCTACGTATTCAGCCAGTGTCGTGTTCGTTGCCGCCAGTGTCTGTTCGTCAACAAAGATATCCCCCTCGTGCGAGTTGGTCATGATGAGTATCACATCCTAGTATCGGTGCGTTAGTATTGGGCGGCGCAAGCGAGTAGCCAGGCGCACCGAGTTGGTCTGATTCTTGCCCAGCGTCACGGTGGGCCTCTCGACAATGAGATCGCCATCCACGACAGGCACAAAGGTGAAGACTCCAAAGAGGTTGTCAAGCGCAATGTTCAGGCCCATCTGATTGAGCTCTGATGCATCTACTGAGCGCAGACAATCGAGTGAGGAGTCGGAGACGGGACAGCTTTTGCAGAAGCAGTCAGGTAAAAGCATCAGGGAGTCAGGCGATTTGAACGTACTCAACCATCTGCGATAGATTCGCAAAGATGACCTGAAGTTCGGTTCAGCATGGATGTAACACGTTTCCTCCGGTGCCATACCTCGTTGAAGGGGTCATTGTATGCGTACTGAAAGGGCAGGAACGGCGAGTCCATCATTGATGCGCGGAATAGCGGGGGTTGCGTATTCCCGCCATGCGCAACGATGTGTTGGAGAACGGAGCCTGCACCCGCTGATTCTCCGTAGATGGTGACTTGACTCGGGTCGCCACCGAATTTAGAGATCTACGGCTTCGTCAAGCATGAAACTGAACCCGTCTGGCACAGACACTTACATGGTCTTGAACCCACTGCAATGCAAACTGTTGGTCGACTAAATCGATGCATGAGTGTAGTAATGTTGGTCTTGACGGTCCAAGACGTACGTATTCCCGCATTCAGAGCACCGTCCTTTGCAACCGTCTCGCCAGCCAGAAACCCTGATCGTTACGCGTGAGTTCTGGTAGATAGAGGCACAGCTTTCGTCGTACCGAAGGGACCTAGGCGATACTGCATTTGCACAGATATGAGACTATCGTTAGAGTTCCGAACCAATGTTTGTGCAGGGTTCCCTTCTCCGTTGCTTCCAGCTGCATAGCTATCATCATGAATTCTCTCAGTCTCCGGGTCTCTCACAGGTTATCAGAAAGGACATACCCTCCACCATGGATCCAGACAATAACGGGCAAAGACTCGTTCGAACTGAGATCCAAGTTCGTAGGGACATGCACACTGCATGATGCTGATCAGCTCAATACCTCAGGATACAGCAAGTGCTGCTCACTTGACAAAAAGACAATCCTCATTCTGCACTCCGGCAGTCCGTCTCTCCAGTCTGAAGGGTGAGGTCTCGTTGGTACCAGAAGACGATTGCCAACACTCGTCCGGCTGCACAGTTGCATTCTGGACTCCGGTGACATTGGCAGGGGGCTGTGGCGCCCGGAACCGCTGTTCGCCTGGCAGAGGATTTAGTTGAGCTACTGCGCCCTATGTAAGCGGCTCTGGTCACGCACCCGTGGGCGGTGCCGCATAGCGCACGCCTAAGAAACTCGTGACCCCAATGTCAATGTTTGCATCCGTTTGATAAGTCGCGTAGCTGAGTGTGTTGTCAGTTGCATAGACTTGGGGCATAGATGACAGCCGCCACGCACCCTAGGTCAACCGTCTTCACGGACGACTGAGCGCTTGCGCAATGGAGCGCAAAGGTCAGGATGAGAAGGCCGGCTCGTAACTCGTACATGATGAAGGGTGAATGGGCCAAGAGAGATCACTGGGATCTCAGACTTTATATGAGGGAGCAGGTTGCTTATAGATCTAGAGTATGGCGGCCTCATGACGTTGAGGAACACTAGTCAGACGTGGGCGCCCATTGGCGTCGGAATGTAATTAGAACAGATTATCCCGCCCAGCTTCGATCCTCCTGCACAGCTGGCCCGGAAAAGGAAGGGGAAACAGAAGGTGGCGGCCCGGTCGATGATACATGCGGTCAGCTGGGTTACGAGGAAGAGCGGGGATGTCTCTTATGAAATGCGGGGCGGAAGATGGGGCAATACAGAGCCGGATTAGATACTGAGTGTGCCGTCGCCTTTGAGTTGGGCCTACATTCAGCTGGAACGCAGGGTATTGAGCAACTCGTCCTCGACCTCAGGTCTCATGCTGGGAGAAGTTGAGTGGCGAAACCGCGTCATCCGAGGACCCGTTGCGTCCACGTGGCGCTCGCAGCCGAGCAATGACCGAGCCTCCACGTCCCTCGACAATCGTTGAATATTGAATTCTCATAACTGAGCGCATGTGGCATGTGCTCACGCTACCCGCGTCGCTCGGCATATGATACGTAGGCTCAAAGAGCCTTGTGTGATAGATGGCGCCGATTTTTGCATCCGACACTTAGCTGAGCCGAACCATTTCACGCCATGCTTATAATATACTAAGTTTCCTGACCTTGTACATGTTTCTGTCGTGATACACCCTGCGGAGATGAGTGGCCTTCCTTCATCTCGAGCGCCTATGACGCGTTTTACTCCTCCCGCTGTTCACTGCGCATTGACCGCGCTTAGCGAGAGCCAGAACCTCGAGTTGTTGTGAGTATTCCGTAGGGAAACCGAACATCAAACGCTAACTCACGCACAGCGCTCCAATAGGGCACTCGATGTAGAAATGGTCACGACTTCGGGCGCTCCCGTCATGGTTTCGTTGAAGAACATCGTCTTGCCAGTCTCTTGAAACGTCGGCCAGTTGGGCTTTAAGTCTTCGGAATCGTGCGCGTTCGGATTCAGTGAGACAGCCGTTGAGAAGAACGAACTCTGAAAAGCCGAGATGAAAGCAGTATTGTTGAACGCTGGGAGCCCCTGTACAGAGCTGTACGATGAATTGAGTACTGGAAGGCCGATGTCATGCTAGCGCACGTACTCAGCGAAAAGATATGCCAGCTCGCTTCCATGGGTTCCTGGAGGTATGGCAAACTCCCCCTGGGAATCGTCAGCTGATACCAATGAAGAGCGGGTACTCGTGTACCTTCCAGCCGCTGGTAGCCGGGAAAGCGTTCAGAGCATAGAACGCAGGGCAGACGAGGATGGAGTCGCCCATCACGAAGGCAGCTTGCTGAGGTACGGTTGTGGCGGTCACATCAGTGAGGTTCGAGTACAAGGTTACTGCTTGCTGTATAGAGCTGTCGTTCATCCGAGGGAAGAGGTTCGCCACATAGTCGGCCAGCGTCGCGTTTGTTCTTGTGAGCGTATTTGCATCGACGAAGACGTCGCCTTCATGCGAGTTGGTCATGACGAGCATCACATCCTGTTCATCATTAGGAACGAGAAGGTTCAGGGTTCGAAGAGCCGAAGACGTACTGAGTTGGTCTGATTCTTTCCTAGGGTCACCGTCGGTCTCTCGACGATGAACTCTCCATCCACCACGGGGACAAAGGTGAACACCCCGAAGAAGTCGTCAAGAGCAATGTTGAGACCGGATTGGTTGAGCTTGGGGGCCTCTATTGATCGTAGGCAAGCCAAAGAAGATCTCGAGATGGGACATCTTCCCAGTCCTGTTAGTTCATCGTTACAACGTCCAGATGGCGTACATACCCGGCCATCTGGGATAAGTTGGCAAATATGATCTATGTGGCCGTGAGCTGAACGCGCTGGATCAAGATGCGTGGGAGTGTTACCTCATTGATGGGGTCGTTGAACTCGTACTGGAAAGGTAAGTACGGAGAGTCCATCATCGAGGCGCGGAACAATGCTGGTTGCGTGTTCCCTCCATGCGCAACTACATGCTGAAGAACCGAACCGGCACCTGCCGATTCCCCGTAGATGGTGACGCGATTTGGGTCCCCGCCGAACTTAGATATCTAGCCAGATGTTGGTCTCGAGGAGCACAATTATCGTGAGCGTACACACATGCTCTTGTACCCACTGAAGGGCAAAGTGTTGGTCGACTGGTCCCTGAAAGTGAACAAGGTTGCATGGCATGGTGAGCAATACAGACGTACGGATCCCTGCATTCAAGTTGCCGTCTTTGGCGACTGTCTCTCCCGCTAAGAACCCTACAAAAGACTTCTGTGAGCGGGATGCATGGCCACCAGGGATGTAACAACGCTGACTCTACTTACCAAAGGGTCCAAGTCGATACTGCATCTGGACAGATATGAGTCTGCCCTTAGAGTTCCGAACCATGGTCTGGACGGGGTTACCCTGACCGTTGCTTCCGTCCGCATAACTACCATTCCGAGAGGATCAGCACGGGTAGTGGGCACGAAGGCGGTATGAATCGTCACCCTCCCCCGTGGATCCAGACGATGACCGGCAGAGACGCGTCCGAAGTAGGATTCAGATCCGTCGGGACATGCACACTGATAGGCATCAGCCTCGCCATGTAGCACGATGGTCAAATACGGCGTACTTGATAAAGAGACAATCCTCGTTCTGGACTCCAGTTGTCCGTTTATTCAACCGGAACGGCGTTGTCGCGTTGGTACCGTCAGAGGATTGCCAACACTCATCCGGTTGAACGGTAGCATTCTGTATCCCTTTCACCCTGGCGGGTGGTGCGGGGGCTCGGAAGCGCCGTACGCCTGGAGGTGGAGGGTTCAGGCGACAGTGCATCCAGAGATGGCGCAACGTGGACGTACCGGTTGGAGGCGCTGCGTAACGCATGCCTAGGAAGCTAGTGACGCCGACATCGAGACTAACGTCCGTCCGGTACGTTGCGTATCTGGCGACATGATCTCATCTCAGAATGAATCGAAGGGCAGGCGTACTAGTGCTTGACGTACCCGAGGTCCACTATTTTCTCCCCATTTGAACGAGCGACCACGCCTGGGCAACCGAGTGCAAGAAGCCCGATGGTGAGACGTGTACACCAAAAGAACATGAAGAGGATAGGGGAGGATGGATCAGGCCGATGGCCGCAGGGTTTATACGGTGAAACAAGCCGCTGGCAGGTGAGTACGCGATTCCAGCCGCGCAGTACCATGGCCTCAGTGGACCCATTGTTAGGCTCGTAAGTTGCTGTCGCGCACATCAACTGATCATCCTGCCCGATCACGGAGTTCAAGTACGGTGAGCCTGGTAAGAGAACCAACGGCACGCCGGCGCTGGTGGGAAATGCGGTCAGCAGACACGACGACTCGTCGCGAAGACCTGGAGTGATGTTGCAGGATTCCGAGGAAGTGGAAGTCGTGGATCACGCGGTGACTGATCGAAGCTGGGGCTATATTATTTCCGCTGTAAGATGTAACCTCATACACGCAGGTGGGAGTATCCGAGTAGCAACGCAAGACGCAGTCCTGCGCGGACGAAGTATTGGGCTTGTCCACGTGGATGACGCGCGAGTGCCACGCGTACAAGGCCGGGGCAGACGCATCGGGATTCGGCGATAGCACTTGTGAGTTGCCTTTGACCAGCATCTGGTTAAGGTTCTCCTTTACCGACATGTAAGCACGATCAAGAAGATGGATGGCGCCTTGCTGAAGCATTCATGTCTCGATCAGGAATGCAATACCCAGTAGCCCAATTGATCGCCTGCAAGACGATGTCCTCTTCGAGGTGTTTGAGTGGCTTGCTATTCTTGACCCACCCGGGCCCAGCGAGAAATACGGCGAATGTAGTTTGGGCTGGATTGCAGCCTCGCATATCTGCCAACGCTGGCGTCGGATCATCCTGAGCATGCCATTAATCTGGGCGAAATGTGCGGGGACATTTCCGTACTCGCCTCATGCTTGCGAGGCAATCATAGAGCGCTCTGGAGAGGCACCGTTGACGTTCTGGCCGTGCTACGACGAAGGACGATGGAAGCTGTGGGGGACCATTGGGCTATCCAATGAGCTCTCTTACATCGCGAATCAGCACTTAGAACGCGTCGTTTCCATAGCTGGATACGGTGGCTGGGATAATCCACCGGCTTACGAGGCATTTGCAGGGCGTTCCGCCCCCCAGATGAGAGTTCTATACGTCTTCGACCACTCGGAAGACTTCGCATGGACCGAGGCACTTGACGCACCCAGACTGGAAATCTTGATGCTGTACCGATCCTTCTTCAACATCCACGCACCGTCGCTGCGATCGCTCCGCATCAACCTTACACATGGCCCGTTTGTTCCGTCGTACCATTATGTCTTAGACCTCCTTGAGGGCTGCTCACTGCTGGAGGAGCTCAATCTCTCGAATCTTTTCGATATTTTGTCGTTTGATCAGTCTCACATGAAGTCCCGTACGAAGCGGATGATCGAACTCCCGAGGCTTACCGATTTTCGTTATTCTGGGGAGTGGCTGCATATCTCGTCCATATGGCGATCTATCAAAGTTGCAACACTGAGTCGCCTTTGCGTCGAGTTGCCCGCGCTTGCGCGCTTTGTCTTACCTCTTTTTCCGGATATACAGGACAGCCTCCGCAGCCCGGAGAATGACACCCTGTACATATCTTTCGACATGCATGAGCTGCATATGCATGTCTATGCTTCTCATAGCCCACCCTCATGTGTCACCGTCTCGGGACAAAGGGCTCTCGCAGGAGTACTAGTCCGCGTCTCGGACCTTGTTCATACCACACCGCCCCCAGTCATGGACCCGAATCTCATGCTCGCGCCCCTTATACGAGCGCTCAACGGGAGTCAGATCCATCATCTCGATCTCAACATTGTCTTCAATATGCCCAACTTCCCCGAACCCGCACTCATGCGAGAGCTCCTCCATGCGTACACTCGCGTGGAGGCATTGACGATAGGCCATCTTGCGCGGTTCGAGCATGTAGCGAGTCTTCTTCGGGAGAACCAGCCACCCGTCTTTCCTCAGCTGCATACTCTCATACTGAAAAATGCCTGGAATACGATGCCTGGGATGGACGAATTCACCGAGGACTCGACAATGATAAACATGAAGAAGACTTGGGAGCAACTGAGTTCGCTTGTGAGCTCTTTGCATGCCGCCGGACGCAATACTCTGCGACGCATCCGGGTGGCAGAGCTTGACGACACAGAACTCTCCGGGGAGGTCGACGATGTCGAACGTTACGTAGAAGCACGAAGGTGTTGTGTGCGCGATCTGGAGGCGATGGGCGTCGAAGTTGAGCTTGTAGATCACGAGGATCAAAGACTACCATTGTAGTACAATAGAACACCCAGTTACAATCTTATATCCCATTCTCTCGCAGAACGTTTGTTGGACTCAGAAGGTGCAACGGGAGATACAGAAGCCAAACTCCTCCTGGCACTGAGTTGCGAGGAAACCCCCATCGTCGTTCGCCAGGCACATGTCGAAGCCAGTAGAACAATCTACGTACGAGAATCGTCAGTACACTTCTCAAGAGCGTTGTGCTTCGCGTACCAGTGCAGCTCGCACAACCTGACAGATGATGTCCGTCAGTCACAACTCATGGCATAACTCAATTTGAAGTGTGGGCTCACCAGGAAAACAATCGTATGATGTTGCAGTGCATGGCGTTGATTGTGCGCGTACCGCAACGATAGTAAGAGCTGTGAGTAGGTATATAGCAGTAGATACAGCTCTCATAGTGGTGTCTGAGGCTATGAGTACCTGAAGACACTGGGCGTGGTGGATTTGGAGCGAGCTTTATAGTGTACTTTCATGCAAAGCCGCGCCGGCCTTTGGCCGCAGGGACGTGAGCGGAAGATAGGGCAGCCTTGGCTTGTGAACTCGAGATACTTTTCAGGTAGATCGTGCCGACCGGCGAGGGCGAGCCTGGTCGAGCCAATGGAGCTGGTGTGCACGGCGAAGGAAAGAGACAGATGTCGACGCAAAAGCGGGTGTAGGTCGTCAATTCCGCTCGATTGACGTGGTACAGCTACTCCTGCTACGTCTCAACTCAGGTGAAGTGGGTTCAAGAAGGGATCGATGTATACAGAGACGCATGGAAATACATCGCTCGCGGACAGGCTGGTCTACTTGCCCTTCTTCGCCTCAAGCACCTTCATCTTCTGAAGATCACGGTTGATCTTCGCCTCCTCGCTCAGCTCCCCTTTGCCCTTCTTCTTCTTCTCCTTGCGCGCTTTCCGCGCCTCTTCCTTCTCCGCCGCCTTGTCAGCGGCCAGAATCTCACGGATAGACGGCACGGTCGAAGACGAGAGAGGCTGTAGGCGTATAGGCTGTTCTTCTTCTTCGTGGTCATCTTGCATCTCGCCCTCTTCGATGTCGGGACCCGGTGCCTTTCCTTTCCCTTTATCGGTTGCAGGAGGTGGAGATGGTGCAGTCGGAGGAGGTGATGGCTCAGGTTCGTCGAACCATCCTCGTCGTGGCAGTCCAGCAGCCGGAGGTGGTGAGGGTGGCCGCGGTTTATCCTCGTCAGAGTCGGATCCAGAGTCTGCGACGCCTTCGTACTCTCCTGCGTCTGCGAATATGTCGAAGTCCTCGTCGACGGGTTCAGGTTCAGGTGCAGGTGGTCTCGATACGGGCTCATTCGTTGCACCTGGCGTCTCCTTCTCCATCCCAGCTCCATTCCTCCCTTCTACTGCGCCCTCGTCCATCTTCCGTTTCTTCTTCTTGCCTCCGTCTTCCCCATTCGCTGCCTCTTCCTTCGCCCTCTTCTTCTTTTTCTTCTTCTCGCCTATGGGCTTGAACCCGCTACTCGCAGCAATCGGCTTGAACTTGCTATTCGGAAATGGTGCGTCGTCAGGTGTCGCTGGTACTCCGCCATCTCTCTTCGCCTTCAAGTCGGCTAAGATGTCCGCTCTACTGCGCTTCTTGCCGTCTGCGCCCTTCTTCGGTGCAGCGGAGTCGGGTTTGGCGGCAGGTAGTGACGAGAAGGTGGCTTCAAGATCCTCGTCTGCTTCGGCATTCGTATGTGAGGCGAGACGTGCGCGGTTTTGTTCGAGGAGAGCACGGTCTAGGCCACGGACGAGGACAGAATGTTCGGCGTCTCCGCCAAGGTATGCGCGTTTGTCCTCCATCTAGATACCAATGTCAGTCAACATGAGCAAAGTGATGTCAGAAGCCGAAGATGTGGAGACAGAACTGGAATCCAATGCTCAACTTCGAGGACCGGGAGGCGTTTGGAATACGCAAGGCTTAAGCTCTCGCATCCGAGATTGCACGTAGATGGATTGCAATTGATATACTGAACAGATAGACATTTGTAAAGATAGCTTACATCTTCCTCCCCTTCATTCCGCTTCTCAAACTCCTTCAGAACCGCCTCGACGTCCGCAAAGTCGCCTTCCTTGCCCTCTCTTCGCTCTGCAGCACGGTCCCTCCATCTCGCGTCCTTTTTCTTCTTCTCGCCATCCTTGTCCTTCTTCACGTTGCGAGGCTTGAAGGCGGGTTCATTGGAAGCCTTCTTCGCGGCCGCAGGTTTCTTAGCCTGGCCGAGTAATGTGCCGCGAGCCGTGGGTGTGCTCGACGCGCCTGGCCGCGGAGTTTGTAGCAATTGCCGAAAAGAGTCCTGCGGGATATGTAATCAGCTTGAGGTAATAGTACGCGAGCGGTATACGCACTTGATCCATTCTCGCAGTAGCAGTTGCTTAGGCAAGAATGGTGGTGGTGGGTTGTGTGCGAGATCGACGCGTTCGCGCGCGTCGGATCCGCGCCACGTTATTGCATCGGAACCGACCAGGCACCAAGTTCAACTTGACCGCCTCCTGCGAAGGCTGTCGAAGCCGTTTATCCCAGTGCATACTCCTTCGGGATGGTGTTCATCCGTAGACCATGTCCGCTTCCAGCGCTCGATTATGCTCTGCTGATGAGCGAGCTGGCCGTCGGCGCTCATCGGATATCCGCGGGCCAGCGGCTTCAATCTGGCTACTTATGACGAAATGGCCGAATTCCGACAGCGAGCCGCGGCGGCGGTCTGTGCTCGAGTACATCATATCTTGTTCCCAACTTCCACCATGGCTATTGAAGCGTACGCTCACTTCGCATATCCATAACGACTCGTGCGAGTGACACGTATGCTCGCAGCACACCGCCAGAAATCACGGTCGCGGGCGAGACCATCCCGACGAAGGATGGCGCGGTCTTCATCTCCAAACCGTACCGCTCGCGCTCCTCCAAGAAGCTCAAGGCTGCAGTGGCATTTGTACCACGACGTAGTCACTTCGACATTCAGAACACCGAAAGCAGCGCGAACCAGTTCCGCGTAAGTCTACAATTTCTTCACCACCGCTGCTGGCCACCAACCTCGCGATCGCCTTCAACACGCAGGGATTCTTCACGCTCTTCTGGATATCGATCTTCCTCTTCATCGTACGCAGCTATGTGTACAGCGTCATGGAGTATGGCGCACCCCTCAACTTCGAGTTCGCCACCATGTTCTCGCGCGACGCGTTGACACTGGCGCTCTCCGACGGCGTACTGGTCCTTTCGACTGGACTATGCGTCCCCTTCGCTAAGCTCATCCGCGGAGGCTGGATACGGTACCACTGGACAGGCGTAGCATTGCAACATATCATGCAAACCACCATCTTGGGCATTGCGGTTACATGGACTTTTAATCGGTGCGTTGGTCTTCCTTGGCCCTGTATGCGACGCGTATTGTGAAGCTGCGGCGGAGAAGGCGCAGCCGGCGGACAGAGTTGCAGTTGGAGCGGGACGGCGCCGGCGGCCTCAGGAAGCGCTGACGCGCGCGTCATGATGACACGGAGATAGGCACCGATTGGACCGTAGCTGTGGCACCGGCTCGCGCTTGCGACCGCAGATGCCAGCCGTACTCGCGTCGCTTCTACTGCGAAGTTGTGGCATCGACGTGCCCAGTCATGCTTCACGCTTTGCCTCGTCCTCTCGGTCTATGCCTTGCACCGCCATACAACTTGATGCTCATCATCCGCGCACAGACAATGGCCCTGGGTACAATCCGGCTTCCTCGTCCTCCACACCCTCGTACGTGTCTAGAGTCTGCCTATATGTCACCGATCTCACCGCATTTCCGCACAGGTCATGATAATGAAGATGCACTCATATATCGCCATCAACGGCTCGCTCTCGATCGTCAAGCAACATCGTGACAAGGTTGAGAAGGCCCTCCGGAAGGAGACCGAGCGCGTAGGCGGATACGGTCCTGCGTTGGAGGAAGCACGCGCACACCGCCGTGCGCTTGACGCGAAGAACGACATGGGCTCAGCCGCTACCAGTGGGACCGAGAGCGGCGGCAGCAACTTCCCTAGCCCTCGAGCAGGAAGCCCGGTGCAGATTGGCACGCCGGACCTATCGTCTCAACTACCCGCGGACTCTCAACAAAGCTACATGGACGCGCCCGCCGCCCAGGCTCTGCGTAATCGACTTGTAAACGCTGGCGCACCCGCACTCCTCGCAACACCTAACAACATTGGCAAGCTACCCGCAACAAACGGCAAAGCGAACCACGCGAGTGAAGGGAGGGACGAGTCGCCAGCGGAAGGAGAAGTCGGCGGCGCACCGCGGCCGCATCCGCTAGTGGACCACCCGGATGCGCGGATATCGAGCTTCGCGCAGGAGTTGACTGAGCTCGACGGAGAGCTCGTCAGTTCGGGCCCGAAGTATGTGCGGTGGCCGGATAATATCAGCACGAAGGACTTCGCTGTGTACATGCTCATCCCGACGCTTGTCTACGAGCTGGAGTACCCCCGGACGAACAAGTGCGTCTCACCCTTTCGCCCCTCTCCATACGCGGGTACTGAGACTTCTACAGGATACGACCATTGTATGTGTTCGAGAAGACCGTAGCGACGTTCGGGACATTCGCACTGCTATACAGTGTCACAGAGACGTACATCCTCCCGCACTCGGGAGTTCAACAGAGCTTCGCGTTGAGCATGCTCGACCTCGCCCTGCCATTCATGGTCGCCTACCTCCTACTATTCTTCATCATCTTTGGTGCGCCCTCCCATCAGCACGTCCTGGATCACATCTGACATCTCCTCTCTCATGGCAGAGTGCATCTGCAACGCCTTCGCCGAGCTATCATACTTCGCCGACCGCGGCTTCTACGAAGACTGGTGGAACAGCACATCTCAAGACGAGTTCTCGCGCAAGTGGAACAAGCCCGTGCACAACTTCCTGTTGCGACATGTCTACGCGCCGCTCATCGAGACCGTGGGCATGTCGAGGACAGGCGCGATGTTCTGCACTTTCTTACTCAGCGCCTGCGCGCATGAGCTGGTCATGGCTGTGGTGTCAAAGAAGATCCGGTACGTTCAGCCTCGAATTCCACAGCTCGAGCGACGGCTGACGCTCTTGTACAGGATGTATCTCTTCACTCTACAGCTCGCACAGATCCCTATGATCGCCGTCGGCCGCATCCCGGCTGTACGACGTAACAAGCTCGCTGGAAACTTGTTCTTCTGGATTGGGTTGTTCGCTGGATTCCCTTTGCTGTGTGTCGCATATGTCACATATTGAACATACTTACTCTATAGTAGCTGCTTATAATGCATTGGTTTACTCGGTTCACAGCTTACACCAGGGCCTGGAGGATAAAGGTGATGCTATAGATGGAGAGCTGCCTCTCACGATCTACAGAACGCGACATGGACCGGTCGTCTTGGAGCTGAAGGAAACCTTTCATAAACACCAAACTCCTGATGCATCGCGCCATGCTGCGCCATTCTCACCACCTGACATCGATATCATCACAGAACACCTCTTTCATACAGTCGAGCCGATCGACGCGGCCAAAGTTGGCGAATCCACTTGGACGACAACATCCGCCGCTTCTTGAGCGCCTGTATGTAGCCGGTGTAGGCAGTGGAGTTCTATCATCCGAAGCAAGATGTCCGACAAGGTATGCCATAAGATTCTCTACAATCCATTCATCCCGGAAGCTGAGGATTGCGTTTTAGTGCCGCACACATCACTCGTGGTTGTAGTACAAGCACGATGAGACCGTGGTATATCTCACACGAATGTCGCATTAGCGTATGGGCGGTGATGCGGCGCATATCAGTACGCGGAATGATCTGATTTGACGATTAGAGTTGCTTCAACGGAAGAGGCCGGTACGGCGATCCCATGAGCATACTTACGTGGATGACGTTCAAGCTCTGAGGCTGGAAGCTTGTAAGTGCCCATTCAATTGACCTGGCAGACTCTCACGCCGGTGTCTACTATCCAGATGTTCTGGGGCTTACTCGATGATCGCTCTGCTTACTTCATTCTCAGATTCTAGCAGCCCATGATCGTGTTTTCAAACCATGCATATGCATGCCGTTCTACATACGACCAGGGACGCCGGTGTTCAATCATAAGCCCATCTTCTTCTGGATGACGTCCATCTACCTAGCTCGCGAATTAGAAGCGTCTACCAAGAACGGTGATACTGCTCCACCTGCACGCAGTAGGGAGACTCATAGGCGTTGAGCGCTCCGCTAAACGCATCTCCATCATTAGTCCGCGGTCCAGCATCTGTTGCCAACCTGTGGGACCCGTTGATACCTACCCAATCCTTGACTTGTTCCCTTGGACGCCGTTAAAGTCGCCCTCATCCTTGCACACGTTCTTTTTGCCCAAGGATATGGGGACCATGTCCACCAAGACGCTATCGTCGGTACTCGCGGTACTCGCGATTGCGAACATCCTTGTCTCTGTCTATCTCTGGACCGTCGAATGGGAGAACAGGCCCTACAGTATACTCTCACATTTTCACTCCGCGAACCAAGTGAACTGAATAGGCTCGATTCATCGCAGCATACACTCTGGACGATTATCCGGAGCATCTTCCGCTGTCAAACCCGAAGCCTCCAGTCGCACTTGTGATGGAGGAATCTGAGCATTATGGCATCTCGCATCCAGACGCCCGCGAGGAATGGGCGACAACGACGGCGACGGGCTTCGGCTATGTGCGTCTCGGGCCTGATCGTCGCGCGTTCGCATTGTCCATGTTCCATCAGGTTAGTAGGCTTCACCAGGCTTCACCGCCTTCCAGCCGATCCACCTCTGAACACGCCCCAAGCTGCATTGTCTTCGGCTTCTGCGAGCAGGCCTGGATGGGGATTATCGACCACAGATACAAGGTCATTTCAGGCATTGGTATGTTCTTCTTGCCAGTGGATTTGCAATCTCACTGATCGTACGTAGTTTGAACTATCTGCGACAGATGATTCTCTGTCAACCTGACCTGACCTTGGAGCCGCACAACGTTATCGATCACGATCCTATGATGAAGGGGCCTACATCTGTGCACGTTTGCTCTGACTGGCGTGAAGTGTACGATGCCGTGGAGGATAACTACGCAGCATGGGTACAAGAGCGTCCCGCCTTGGCCAACCAGACGAACAAGCGCGGTTTACAATGAGTCCGGGGGACATCCCGTATGCAAGGCTCATGTATGAACTACGTCGATTACAAAGGAGACGCCTGAATTAGCCATATGCCTGTGCTGCATTCAGCTCTGAAGTCCGAGGAATGTCGTTGAACGCTTACCAGGAGTTCCGGCTTCCGCGGTCTGCTTGAAGTCTATCGCGCAATCGCGCGAGAGGCACTCCAAAGCGAAGGTCTGATAAGAACTGGATGAACACGAAAACTCGGTCGTATCCACGGATTCGTTGACTTTCAAGTCTAAGTTCCATCCCGCTTTCAGGTTGTTCTCCTTCCAAGCCTCGGATGACGAGAAAGCAGGCCAGGTTGGTAGAGATCGCGAGATTTCCACGCGATGCAGAGCCACGTGCAAGGACGCGGCGGTGGGAGCAGTAAGCGCACCCATCGTGTCTGGAAGGTAGATCCGCAATGTACATCTTTCCATGCCAAAGTCTCCGGACCAGAAGCGCAGAAGTGTGATCATTCGCGGCTACAGTGAGCGCTCAATGATGTAACAGAATGTCATGAAGGCGATGAAACTCACCGAGTAGGTTGAAAAGATTCGATGCTCTTCGGGATAGAATGAACCGAATGACGAATGGTGAGGGTACGAGTGGACTGTAGCTACCGTTCCTGTGATTGGATCCACGCTGCGAGATGCAATCGGGAAGTTGGTGACCGCAGGGAGAGCCGGACCATGCGGTACACGAACAGCCGTGTCCAGACCGACGTAGGAGCTTGCGAACTCCAGCTCCTGTACCGCCGTAGAACGAACCTGGCTTGAGACTAGGTCATAGACAAGTACGTTGGAGGCAATGCACAGTGCGCATGCGGCAAAAGCCCAATAGACGATTGTCCAGGAGTGATAACCTTCGGTTTGGTCAGTAGATTCACATGGAGTGACGGGATGAGGTCCAAACCATCGTGGTGATTCCTCACCATCTCGACAGAGTTAGGCTCGTCGTCTGCTAGAAGCGGTTCATACCGTGGGCGAGAGAGCATGTTAATTCAAAGTGCTCGGCCGATGTGATTGCTCGAGGTGGTGGTTCAAGCAGAAGCACTAAATCGTGGATAGCGCTCGATAAATACGCGTATGGAGTCTACATTGGAACCCACCCCTCGGCATCATTACCCCACGATCGGACGCTTCTATCACCATACCCAGACTTGAAACCTTGAAACCTCCCGATTTGCCGCACGTTGTGTCCGAATGAGTGGCCAGTTTAAGAAGATTGTCAATGGAAACCTGGATCTATCAATGAGGTTCTGACATGTCACTCCAATTCTCGAAGATGCGCTGTACTCACATCTTGTCAGACACCTTCCAGGGTTAAGCCCGCCTCAGCTTCGTAAACCCGCCTCCAGTCCTTGCACGTCATCAGACCCCATGGTTGTACTGTATGCGGTCCGCCAGGATTCACGACGGGCTCTAACCGAATGTCTCGACGACAAAGAATGGTTTGTCGAACATAGTTCAGACACGCTGGTACCCTGGTGTCTATTTCACGATCGGGACCGCGTTCGCGCTCAACGTAGGAACGACGTATAATGTCCAGGCAGGCCAATTGGTGAAACATGGAGAGCATGTATGGATCGCGTTTGGATCCTACGCTCAATATGCCCCCATTACTGGGAAGAAGCGACGCCCATTCCATGTCCGCGTCGCTTCCGTTCAGTCCATAGTGAGCAGACGCTTCGAAGTACATCGTAACCTGGGAGAGCGGGCCTATATCCCAGACGGGAGAGATGGCCTCGTGGATAACTATGGCTGAAAGGAAGTCAGCCAAACGAAGAACGCGATCCTCAACGTATTGCCTTGCAACGTACCTGCATTCGCCTCTCGAAACGTGCGTTGTGTCTTGAGCCAGACGGCATGTAGAAGAAGTAATAGCAAGCTGCAGGTCGCGGCACTGATGAGGACAGCGGGTCTTGCGAGCGAAACGACCGAACTAGTGCATGCAGTCAAGCGCGGGCGCGCCATGGATGTGGGAGACCACTAGGCGAAAGTCGTCGCGTCCGTAGCACCAGAAGGAGGAGCTTCTGTTGAGATCAAGATAAGACAGATGTGTGTTCATTTCAGAGTCGATTTTAATACACGTAAGTCAGGTCTTCTTGTGAATCTGGTGGTAGTCGTCCCCAGATCGAAGTTGCGCAGCACGTGCACCCGGTGTTCATCGCTATAGCCGTGAGACAAACAACGACAAATACAAGGACGCGCGTTCCGCGGATGCTCAACGCGACCCGTACAATACCCGCCATCGCCCCGATGAGCGTCGACCGACCTCAGTCAATAGATACTTGCCAGACCTAATCTCTGCACCTGCTTAGCAGGGTGACGAACGCCTTGGTGGTTGCGCTGGGCAAGCTTGCCTTCTTGCAACTCACAACAAACGACAAGCTTAGAGGTTGACTTGAAGAATCATCTAGCTGCGTTCTGCATGGCATGAGCTATAACGCGTTGGTACCGGAAATACCGTCTCCCGGATCTTCCACTGGAATATTCAAAACTCAGACTCACGCCCAGTAGCTCGCAACGCATATACGCCTCGCTGATCTACTGGAGCCTGTGTGGCTGAAGCTTGCTGTCCAGAGGCTAAGGACTATCGCACACGAGTTCACCGGGAACTCGGAATCTGCTAGATTCTTTCGGTCCTCTCGTTTCTAGCGCCAATATCCCCGAACCGTGTGCAATGAACAATGTTATATTGGGCTAATCAGAGAGCGAGCTGACAATCAGAACTGCACAGTGACCAGAATGTCGCCGAGCCACGATCCCCACGATCCACCTTCATTGCTCTGGATGGCGTTGATTCAAAACTACGTGCGATGGTCAGTATCCTACCGGTGCATCACCTATGGTGCGGACAGATGCTTACCAGTGGCTGGACTCGTAGCCTGTTAGAAGACTCGACAGTCTATGGCCTGTCCCTTCATCCTGGCGGGCACTGTCAAGGCATACAGTATGTAAGTATCAGGATCTGAGGGCTCCATCATTGTGCTCACCATCAAGAGCGTCATCTTGAGTTGCATCGCACGAGGGGGTAGGAGAAGCCCCGCAGATGCTGGCGAAAGCGAGAAATGCCGCGAAGAGGTAAAGCGAGGAGAACTGCATGTCAACTCAGGGATGTGGGCGGTGTGCTGCGTGTAGGATTGTAACTCCTGCTCAAGGATACGCTGCTGCGCGACCGTGCTTATGTACCTCTACTTCCCCAGATCTGGGGTACCCCGCTGGATACACGTGGAACGATTTTGGGAGGCTGCGAACACCGCGCGAGGCTGGTGAAAGTAATGCGTAGCTTCTCGCGAACCATGTTCTGATAGCAACATTCAGAGTTTGTACAGCTTGGTAGGCTGCTGATCATCCTTACGACGATGGATACTCCCCGGCAACTTTCGATGGGGCGGTACGCGATGGCCATCTAGTCTTAGCTTAGAGGCTCCGCCTTCAGAAGCACTTCTTAAAAGGTCGTCTCCGCTTTAGATCCCTCGCGTATATGTCAATTCGCCGGAAGACTTCTGATTCATAACACCCTTCGACCAGAGGTAGCACTTGATCATGATCGTCGAATGGGGAGTCTAAAAAGAACGATGACATATTCCAGTTGCCATCTGCGGCAAGGATACCCGATTCATGGCCCCTGTGAGAGTTACAATGCTACAGACAGTTCGTAAGCTGTACATTACGTACATCGTCCCCTATAAATGTAGTACTTTGCATGTCCGATCGTTCCGAGGGACTTCCTGACCATATGTGCGAAATCAACATTCGTAGACTTGAAAACCCCACTGGTACGTCCTGTACTTGGGCGTACGCGATTTGCTTTGAATCTGTGGCGTACAAGCAGGGGACGACATCGACGCCATTGCGAAGATCCTAGCCACAGCTTTTGCCGACGATGTCTTCACACTTGTTTGCGGTGGAGATGCGTCGAAGATCTACGACTTCGAGCGTGCGACCGTTGCCGCAGTTGCGCTTGCTGGAGAGATATGGGTAGCCAGTTACGGGGATCAAGACTTCGCATCAGTTGCTCTTTGGATTCGTCCAGACAGAGACTTGCTCGATAGGTACGTAACCACATCGAGCCTAGACACAGTCGTCTGTAAGAGCCGTCCAGTCCCGATCAGCACGAAGCTGGCTTTGGTCAGCTGTTCAGTTCTTTCAAGACTGAGCTGTCGCAGTGGTGGATGACCATGGTGCGTTTACAGACGAAGAACATGTCTGCGTGTCGAACTCCTCAATGCTTCTAGTTTCTGCCTCGCTACGGCGAGATGAACACCGAGGCGTTGGGTGCAAGGACGAAGGTTGAAAACTGGAACCTTCAGATGGTCGCTACTCTGCCTGACCTTCAGCGTCGCGGACTCGCAAGTACTCTGATGAAGGTTGTCGAAGACAAAGTAAGCATTGTGGCGATCGGCGACTCTATCCATAGAGCTGACGACGTACTCTAGGCAAAAGCAGAGAATAAGTTGATCACGTTGGAAGTGGCGGAGGAGAGTAATGTGCGTAGATTGCTCATGGTCTCCATATGTAGGTTAGCTGATTATACATCGTCGATGCTCAGTTAGCCTTTTACAGACATTTGGGCTGGAAGGTGGTATATGGCCCCGAGCATTTCGACGCTATAGAAGGTCTGTCATTCCCGATGTGGATTATGACTTCGTAGGTATCAATTCTATGTGCTGCCTTTCCTGTCAGAGCCCTGCAGAGTATCGTTGAAAAGGGTGTGTTTCATGGTGTGTCCAAGAAGTATGCACGTAGTGGTAAGAGGCAAGTCGGGGCGGGAAACTCGAACGCGTCGTCGCGCGTCATGCATAATGGTTCACGCGCTCATTGCTCGGGCCGACGCCGCGTGGCTTATGTAAGAAATCCGGACTGAAAGTCGTCGAGTCGTCAACGTTGCTTCCCGCCACTCTGAAGCCGCCCCCTGCTCCCACTGGCGCATGTTCCTTTCGTCGAACATCAGCGCATCAGCGCATCAGGTCGATCAGCGCTCAACGTTCAACGCTCAGCCAACCCTGAAACTACTACTGAGTCCCTCATATTCTGTTAAGCTCCCCTTGCCATTCTTCGATGAGTACTGAGTCCGGACGCTAGCCGCGGTGCTGTTGTTCGCGTAATTGCATGCCAGCGTTCACGACCGGCAGCAACCTGCCCACGTTCTGTACAGTACAATGGCGATATTCCTCGAGTGTGCGAAGGGAAGAAATCAGCGGCATGCCGCGACCGACATCGGCGCCTCTCGCGCTCCTGCCGTACCTACAATCGGGCTGGACCAGGGCGTTACGACGAGCTAGCTATGGCATTGCATGTACATCAGAACACTGTGTGTCTACGCCCGCCGTCACACAATAGGACTGGAATGTGCCGCCTTCAGTGACTCCGATAAGGAGGGCATGGTGCTGGCAAAATCATCGCAGCGGTTGGTTGCTGTGACACCGATGTTCTCACTTGAGAAACGCGACGTTCGCTAGAAAGTGCATCATTGGTGTCGTCGCCAACACTGCGCTCAAAACGAAGCTGACATACATCTGGCCGAGTATTGAACTCTATAGGAATGGTGTCTTGTATGGTACGGACGCCTCGGCGGATGTAGTCCCTCGAGTTCACGTTCGCGAACAGCGTGTTGACGTAGAAGGGACACGTAAGTAGACCAATCGATGTCCAAAGGGGGCTCTCCAGGGAAGTAGCCGCAATCTTGATCGGTTTCAGTGACCGCTTGTCAGGAAGATATGCCGATTCAGTACCGTAATGATGACAGCGAGAGCAAGCGCTACGGTCCAGAGGCCAGTGTTGATGATGACGATCGTTAACCGCAAGAGAAGACGGTTGATCCTGAAGGAGAGGACTCAGCCAGACTGCATACGTTAACAGTCATCAACTGACCTTTCCTGCATCGGAAGGCCGGGTGCTTCCTGGAACCGGTTACGCCAGATGAACACGAGTAGGATGGCAGCGATCAAGGCATCTTCGGCGGCGCATACGACCCAAACTGCTTGGTAGATGCGCTTGCGTACATGTCAGCACGACGGGATGCATGCGCAATCGCTGACTTCAACATCTTACCGCTGCTCGAATCAACGGTGGGTAGCTGTGGATTGAAAAACATTGTTCGCTTTCAAAACTATGTCAGCGCGCTTACCACCTCGTGAAATGAAACGGGATCTCACTTGAGAATACAATACCCAGCTGCATCGGTCAAACAGCGTGAGCTTCATTAATTGGACGAGGACCGACCTGTGCGACCAGCTGCGTCCTCAGATCATGAGCGAGGGCCTCCCTTCATTCGGGAAGTTGCAACTTACCCAGTTGGAATAGCGCCCCGCATGTCTTGCGTATTATGAGTATCAGCGGTCAGGTTATTGTGTCAATGAAAGAACGCACGAGACAACTCAGGAGGAAGATGCGGAACTTGTTACAGACTGTATGAGGCATGGAGGTTCAGGTCAGTCGCTGTCCTGACCACTCGATAAGCCGAGAGATACAGACGTTGCCATACCCTCCACGCAAAGTACATTTGGGTTATGAAGACCGCGATACCCTGCAAGGATGGTGAAATCCCCATGAGACTTGGTCTTGAAGCTATACAGGAAGAAGTCTGGAGAGACTTGCCGTTAACAGATCGGCAACCTGCGTTCGGTAAGCAGTCAGCATTGACGTGATAGACCCTCTTCAAGGACACGGATGACGCACGCCATACTCGCTATCGAAAGAACCTCGTCATTATGAATCTTCTTCCGAATGCGCATGACGCTCACCTCAATATTGTATCGGGGTTTGGAACTTCAGCTACCAGAAGGACGTAGGCTGCACGGACCGTCAGTGGACGCAAAAGAAGAAGGGAGGTCTTTCACCTCCGCGAGTGATCAATACAAGATGGCCGAGTCCTACGAAGCTAGATATCTGTTATTGAGGAAGCATGGAGCGGAAGAGAGACTTGTTCACAAAGTTGACAGGACCATCAGCTGCACTAGAGTGCGATCGCGATGCCTGTGACTGTGGGACGTCGTTAGTCACTGTGATCCATCGAGGAACCGTGAGGTCACCGACTGGACGCAGTAGATGAAGCTTCAACGAGCACGTCAGCTGTGAGACCGTATGCTCGTAATGAGGTCGGACTGACGCTTGTAACAGGGATGCGCCATGGAGAGTGGTGTTGACCAAGATGAGTACAAACTGTGAGGGGTCAATAGGGGGAACTGCCATCGCGGACGCCCCACAGAGTGCTCACAGCACTGTAGTGCTGTATATAGGGCGGCCGGTGATGCGCGTTGTAGTGCTGTAGTGGAAGCCACATGCGCGTACCAAGATAGGTAGGCGTGTATCACGAAGGCGCTGCCAGAAGCACCCCAGAGATCAATATGAGCGCCTCGACGGGAGGCGTAATCGAGGAGCAACTCACGCCACGACGCCAATGCACCCGAGTGATACGGCTGTAACACCAGTGTGGGAGTATCATTGGGAACATTGAATGGGTAGAAGTCGACGGCACACACGTAGGTCGCCGACGATCACTCCCTGTACGCTCTACGTGCCTAGATTTCTTATTCTGTCAGCAGACGACGCCGCGTGTAGTAAAGCGGACTTATTAGAGTTGGCTTCGAGCTTCAAGCTTCAAGCTTCAAGTTTGATGTGGTATGGAGCGCCCAATGACGCGCGACAGTCTTGATCGACCAAACTCATGTCGAGGCGGAGAAGAACGATATTACAATAAGCTCCGGAGAGGAAGCAGATGATGGTATTGCAAGGTGACTATGCTTCTGCTGAACGACTACATACTTGGGTGCGCTGGCCGGAAGATAATATGCGACTCCGGGCACCGAAGGCCGAGTGCATCATGAAGCCGCCCTCCAACGTCCGACGCTCTTAGATGCCGAAGCGGGGTGACTACGGATGACTTGACCATCGAGGGAGTTCTTTTGCGCGCCAATATATTGCCTGAGTCGTGATATGGGGGTGGCACTGATTCCGGACGCGAGCGAGACACATGGAATGCAGCAGCCGCCAGGAATAGGCCCTGTCCATCTGAGCGAACTCTGCCGACCGAGGAGACCGGACGGCATGAGAAGTCACCCTAGTCGTCTGCGCTGCGTGTGTACGAGAGTCTTGCCTTTGTCGGAAACCACAGAGAGAAGCGGTGGTGCCGAATACTGGAGTTGTGCGAGGGCGAGTGTGTGATACCGACCAGAAGCAAGGCGTTCGTGACTGAAGCGACGACTGCCCGACAGATCAGAAAATATAGTAGCCCTCGTTGCAAAGCCCACGCACCGAAACAATCCCTAGTTGGGTAGTCGCTAGTCGCTGGTCGAGGCTCGTCGTCTACTTGTTGTGTCATCGGACAGCGGATACCACGAGCCGAGCTCGACCTTGAACCACTACATGACCATGCCTAGACATATATGATGGTCGTACTACATTTCGTGCTCGGTTCTCTTGATGGTGGTGGCAGAGCCGCGTCGACGCGTCGAGGACTGTCGAGGACGCGTCGTGCGCGCTCGTCTCACGCCATGACAACATGTTGTCTCTTCACCTCCATGACCGACTCTGTTTGCTGGATGCCCTTCCTTGTGTGTCGCATATGTGACGTGCTCATGTAACATGCTTGTATAGTAACTGCTGTCAATGCACTCTTTGACTTTATTCGAAAGCCGACGTCGGTGCTCCGATGTCACGATATAACACTCTGTGTAGGCTTGAGCTCAGCCTTCAGCGCGGATGGCTTGATTGGGACTGCGGCGCGGTCGCAAAAAGTTGGAGCGCTCCGGACGACAAGGCAGGTCTCACGAGAGGTCATGTAGCGAGTTCCTCACTGTAAACGAAACTACATAGGGAACATGATGGGGTACACAAGCCGGCCACGAAGCGCTTCCCAAACATCTCGAACCTCGTGCAACTGGATTCACTGAAAGGCTCTCCGTCAAAACAGGCTTCAAGACACTCTATAATGGATCGGTGCTTACAACATAACCTCGTCGAGCGGGTTGAAGTGCCTAGAAGCAGCGCGGCTGATCCTCCGCCTTCAAACCCTTGATCAAGTAACTCGGGACTGAGTGCAAGACTTGTCAGCTTTTAAAAGCGTATTCTATGGAACGGAGCACTCGCCGTCTAGGCTGCGCTTGTCGCCACCAGTGATGACCGCACAATCTCCGGCACCATCGCGAGGTACGACAGCGGCGTTGTACAATCCTGCCAGAGAAAGGAGGAAAAAGACGGAGTAAAGCGCATTGTACTGCATGTCGTCGACAAGGTGAGGCACTACTTTTTAGCTACCTCGTGTTATAGCATCTTATAGGGTGGAAGATCATGCTAATGAGCATAAGATAGCACCCTCGCCGTGGGATATTGCACCGGTCCACTGGGACGACACAACCGCCGCCGCCGCTCCCAACGGTCCGTGGTTTGCCACCCTCTATTCAGAATGACTCTGTTATCCGGAGCAGCGAGTCCGAGGTGCTCTCGATGAACTACATGTTGTATGGGCCAAGTCCAATTGCCCTAGAGGCCCCGATACAGCCAGTCAGGTGCCGCCTAGACAACCATCTACAGCATCCCTGTACATTCAAAAGTGTGTGAAGACGCGCTCAAAAGTTGATGGCAGCGTCGTCCTAACACTCACAGGATGTTCTGAGACCGCGTTAGTAGAGGCACGGACTTCACTACGAAGGTCGGCCAACCGTGTGCAGGGTTTGTCTTGGTGGACCTGCTCTCGCTGTTCACGCTCAGTTCCAGCTGAGTCTTCGTATTTCAGTCCCTACATACCGGCACCGGTGCTATCTTTTGATTGGCGCTTACTCTCCCCACGCATTCGCCATAGGGTCCAAACCCTACGAAGAGCAGCATCCCCTTCTGCAGGCCGCCTCCCACACGATCATGTCTGCCCACCATCGTCCTCTCAAGGCGATCTCAGTTGGACTGGCTATACTTTCACTCGTCAACATTATCTTTGCTATCTGGCTTTGGACGTCCGAGCCCGAAGTTCACGTTTACAGTTCGTGTATCTCTCTGCTCTTGGCTTGAACGTGAGTCTTACCTATGACCTCTATCCAGCGTACGAGGATTCCGACTACCCAGAGTTCTGGCCGCTTCCACCCTCATTACCGGTCACGCTCGTCGTCGAGGAGACCATTCACTACCCCATCGTTGGAGAAAACGCCCAGGACGAATGGGCCTCTACAGCTTCCGCGGGCTTCGGGTACTTGAGGTTGGGACCCAACTACCGTGCATTCGCACTTTCAATGTTCCATCAGGCGAGTCTGATCCAACGATAATCGAACTCGCCTCGCTCACTTGACTACAGCTTCACTGCCTCCGGCTTATGCGCTCTGCACTCGCGCCGGGAGACTACCGACCATCGACAGAGGGACACTTCAAGCATTGGTATAGGCACGATTGCGCGCGTCTGATCTAGTGCTGACTATCGCATGCATAGTTTGAACTACTTTCGCCAGGTGATTCTGTGCGATCCCGATTTGACGCTCGAACCCGCCGACGTGCTGGAGCAGGATGCAAAGGTAGAGCGCGTGAGCTCTGTGCACGTCTGCAAAGACTGGCGACAGGTCTACGACGCTATGTCCGTCAACTGGGATGAATGGGTTGCACATCGCGAAGCATTTGTGAACAGCTCCGTCGAGACCGATGTTCCCGGGATTATCTGAACGATGTATCATACACGTACACGATCTATGGTCCAAGACGTCTCTTGAGACTCGCATAGTGCCTGCGAGTTGTATCACCGGAAAGCTCGCGATCGCTGTGAGCCCGCGAATTTCCCCCATCCTCACAGGGACGAATGTTGGATCAGCCAAACACCTACACCGAGATATGAGCCTATAAGCGCTCTGGGATAGAAAGAAGCCTTCGTACGTACCGAAGTCCTTCCGAGTGGGACTCTGCGTGAGGCGAAGTGAGCAGTCTTGTCCGCCGCAGGCCAGCTCAAATGTGTGTATAGTCCCCGATGAACATGCGAACTCGGGAGACTCATGAGTCATATTGAGGTCGCGCACGTCCCAGGTCGTGAAGATGCCAGCACGCCGCGGGCGCGCATTGTATGACAAGTCGTGGAGTCCCATAACACGAGGCTCCTGCAACGTATACACTTCAACGCGGAGAGGAAGGTCCGAAAGTTGAAGCGCGCCATCTGAAGCATCGGGTGCGCGTAATGCCAGCTCGAGGGTACATCGTTCCATTCCAAAGTCACCGGCCCAGAACTGTACGAACGTTGTCGCCTAGACGAGCATCTTGTGAGCGAGCATCAAAGCGAAAAGCCAGACTGCAGGTCGTACCGTAACGGAGAGAGACACTATACGATCCTCAGGAAAGTGAGTGCCAAAGGACGTCACACGATGTGAGGTTTCGATCGAGACTTTGTTGGGAGAAGCCGAGTCAACAACGCCGAACGCGAGAGGGAAGTTTACGATGTCAGGCAGAGATGAGGACGCAGTTGAATGGAGGAGAGCTCGGTCCAAGCCCATGTAAGTGCTGGCGAACTGAAGTTGTAGTGCATCAGTTTTGGCGGTTGCTCCGGTCCGGGACTTGAGCGACATGATGCTGATGTTCCCAGCCATACAAAGAATCGACGCCGCAAATGCCCAGTATATCAGTCGCCATGAACGTCTTTCGGATAGACCGGGTTGCTCTTCAACATGTCAGCAAACTCAGTGTGCACAGAGGGCCGTTGGGAGCACATACCTTTGTTAGAGCCATCGAAGTCTACCCCCGATTCGTGACCTGCAAGTGGCTCGTACGGGGAAGGACCCGTCATGGTGGTGGTCTAAGTCGTAACGAGGAAGGTTCAGCCGGAGACTTTCTTATTCTTGCATGGGGTAACGATTAGATAGGGCATTCTGGAAAAGGTACGGCGCCAATGGTAGACTCGAAACAGCTCTCCCCATCGCGCTCACCTGCATAGAAACGGCGTCAGAAGTGACGAGTCTTCTGTTCAGTCCCATTCATCCTTGGACATATCGACGACGGAGACAGTATGTCGTGGGAACAATGCTAACTGAGGGATGGTATAGTGCATCTTTCATCACACGAGCTAACGCAGGTACGATGCGATGCAATGCCGGTGAGATGGGTTACGGCATCTCATGCATTGACATCTGGTCTCTTCACGGGCGCTCATCAAGTTGAGACCTGACAGCTGGTTGATCAGACGACGGACACGGAAGTACGACGAACAGCTCACCGCTCACCACCGCGTGAACTGCGCTCCTGCTCTTCATACACCCGTCTCCAGTCTTTACAGGACTTTGGTCCCCATGGCTGTACAGCGTGAGACCCGTCTGGATCGACGACGGGCTCGAGCCGTACGTCTCTACGACAATACACTGTTTGCCGTATGTAGTTCAGACATGAAGTAACCCTCACAGGAGAACCGCCTGCCAGAGCACTTTCACGCGCGACGTAAGATTGACGCAGGAGGTCCAAGCAGGCCAGCTGATGGAACATGGAGGGCATGTACGTTGCCCCTACTGGTCCGAAGCGCACGCAACCGCCATCGGGGGGAAGAAGTGCTGCCCACTCCGCGTCTGCATCGCTTCCATTCAACCCATAGCGCACCGAGTCCTCGAAGTACATCGATACCGGCGGCAGGTACAGATCCCATATTGGCGAGATGCCCTCAGACAGCCTCACATCTATAAGACGTCGTGTCAGCAGTGTTGGTCAAGCTGCTACTCATGAGATCTCTCGTACCGGAAGTGCGGTCAGGGGGGCGACTGTGATTGTGTTCTGATATAAAGGAGAGCAGCATCAGCAATGAGAGTGCGCAAGTAAGAATTGCTGCTAAGAGGGAAGCAGGTGGAGATAACTTGGTGGATGTCCTGAAGATACCGGTGCGGGGCATCATCGCAAGTTGATTCGAGTATGGGTGCGAGCGCCCTAGCCCTTATGTACCGGCTCCAGAGCCAGGTAGCCCAGTCATAGGGTACGAGATAATGCCGTGTGTTTCTTGGTCTCGAGTCTGGCGTCTTGGGTGGTTCGAATGTCATACAGCCATGTAATTCACCATGGCGAATCGGTCGACGATTGCCTGAGCGGCCAGTAGCTGGGGTTTGGATTCCAAGGCAGCGAAGGTGTTCATCGTGTGCTATACACTCGAGTGCATCGTATACGTGCCAGCGCGTTGGCATACCCAGGACAATGAAACCCCACAGGAACATGGAGGCAACTGGGAGGACGCCAACAAACGCTCTCGTGTGGCTGCGCACAGATTGATGGGAAACGCGTCCACGTGAGCTGATTGAGAGACGCGCGGCGCGCGCGCCTCGGGATCGCGTGTCAGCATCGCCAGTAGCCCAAGTCGACCACACCGCGTCTCTCAATGTAGAAGCCCACTAGTGAGAACAGATCTCAGGCCGCAGTACACCAGCTCACGTTCATACATATTAGACTTTTGGAGAGCTCACTCTAATTTTCTTAGCACTATGCTATCATGCACTACAAGAGAGAAGCGCCTCGAGGGGCCCATATATTAGGGTCAATCACGTTAAGCTATACTCCCGGATACGCAGAGGCAGTTGTGTGCCCTTATCCGGCTGACTGAGCAAGGACGGACGTTGCAACACGGTTCCAGTGCGCGCAACATCGCCGGCCGATGTAGCCGGCTCGAATTCAAACGAGCGTACGAGCGTAAATAGGAAGGCCTTCATCCTGCAAGATCATCATGAGTACGACACCTTCAGAGAACCAATACGTTGTATGGAGGACGAGTACGCACTCAGCGATAGCAAAGCGGAAGCCGATGCACGCATGTGGACCATAGCCGAATGATGGCACGTTCCCCCAGACGCCTGGAACGCCCTCTATTTCCGCTGACGTCTTCTCCCATCGCTCCGGCCTACGAGTCTAACATGAGCATCATCCCCCATTCATCTACCGATTTCCTCACCTGAACTCCAAAGCGTCGTTTCCCCACAGCGATGGCCACTGGTTCATACCCATGAGCGGTATAACGATACGGTTGCCCTTCCCAATGCTATACGCCCATCTCAAGCGTGAGACAGTATACACTATGATTGCACATTGGCAAATCTCACCGTATTTCATCGTGCATTTTGCCGTAGATATCTTTGAACGGCTTACTCACAGGGAGCACGTCATCTCGGACCGCCATGCGAAGCGTCGTTGTGAGTGGGCCGTACACGCGCATAGTCTCGCGGATGACGGCGTCGAGGTAGGGAAGCTTTGCGAGTTCGTCGAATGAAGGTACGTCGTGGTGGACCCCGGTAAGCTCACGGCGCAGCTTTTCTTGGACAGAAGGTGCTTCTGCAAGCGCATGTAAACACCACGCCAATGCTCCGCTTGATGTTTCGTGTCCAGCAACGAGGAAACTTCTTTGCGTGAACAGAGACACACTTAACATCGCAGAAAACACTTACGTTGGTATCTCTAGAAGAACGTAAGCGTATGCAAGTTGAGGGCGGAGAAGTGAGCGGCGTACGTGCAAGAACCTCCTCGTCTGAAAGGCGCTGGTTGTCCGGAACGTCTGTCGCCATATTCGATCTGACCAGCAAGGTGAGAAGGTCACGCCCAACGACGTCTCTACTCTGGACCCCCTCTGTATCCTTGAATGTGCCGCTGCGGGCATCAGCTTTCCTTTCCGCAAGAAGTTGCATACTTATACGATCGGTAATCTTTTTGGCCTCTCGGAGGTTCTTGGCGCGCTCAGAGGGCTGGATAGCATGATATCAGCACTCAGGAGCAAATAGACCATGCGGGATAGGCCATTACTCACGAATATGTCCAGAAACGGAAACATCTCCATGATAACGCGCACGAAGGAGAACTTGGGAGGGTTTTTGAAGGTGGCTCGAAAGGCGCGATTGAGTTCGTTCGTCTCCCCTTCCGAGGATAGCGCACCGAGCTGGTACCCAAAGCCTATCATGGTCCATCAGTAAGATGTAGAAGACCCGAATGCTTGTGCTTACCTGCTAGACCAATCACCTCAAGCGTTGCACGACTTAACCCGTCAACTATATCAACACGAGCAGGACTATCCCGGACCGAGATGGCTTCTCTCCAAAGCTCGCTGAGCTATTGCACAAGTTGAGAATGAGACTGTCTCTCATACAGTGGAGAAAACGTACGTTCATAGCCTTCTCGACGAAGATCTCATGAAGATTCCGTATCTGGGACGGTCCAAAGGCAGGATTCTGTCGACAAGAGATGCCCGTCGTCAACGCCCGGTACATAGAAGAAAAACCGCGAGCTCACCGTGACTTTTCTCTGCGTGGTTGTTGTGCATGAGTGGTTGCAGGTCACATCGTTGTTCAGACGCGCACCATCTTTCTGTGTACATCACCTGGGCCGACATCAGCACGACTGTCCGATCCAACAAAGTGGCGATCAACAGACCTTCGGCAGTAAGAATACCTGGAATTCGATCAAGTCAGCTTGACGCAAAGAGGCTTGAAGGGGTGGGTCTGACTTTTCGGTATGATACGCGCGACTTGCAGCCGGCCCTCCAGTGGTTTCGCATAGTCATCTGCGTGTGACAATATGTGGGCAACTGTGACCGGGTCTATCGTCCAAAGACAGGGCATCTAAGAGCAATCAGTCAGTACCCATAAGGCGAATGAAGGTGAGCTGGATTTACCTTGCCGAACCAGCGGACGAGACAGTTCGGGCCGTATACCTTAACCCATTCTTGCATCTGGCTCAAATTGCGGACGGTGGTCATCTGCCGAAAGTGCCCATAAAGCCAACTCGAAGCGGGTGGCCCTTGTAAAGGCCACAGAGGCGACCGGTACAAGGGTAATACTAGCCACAGAATCACCGATGCGGTAGATCCCACCACCAGTAGTAGCAGCATGGGCGAGGAAGACGTGACCAGATATGGCTCGGCCGGGAGCGGCGCGTGAGGGAGGAAGACAAGTGTTATACTCGGTAACCGGTAGCCCGGTGAGGGTGTGCTCTACCCGATGTCGCCGGTTTCATCGTCACCTTCATCAACGAGAGCGAACTCCTAGCGCCCGTGAGCCCGAGGTCTCCGGTTTCGTATGAGCCCTATATGGCTTGGCAGAGGGGGGTCAGAGGTTGCACAGAAGTGCAGCTATCTGGCAAGGACTCAAGCAATAACTTGAAGAATTAGATTGACGGGCATTGTGTGTGGTGGTGAGAGGCAACAGCGGGTCGCCCTTGCGGCGTGCGAGAAGCGCGTCGCGCGGTCGCCGCTCGGTCCGCCTTCCTCTTGCCTTCCTCCACCAATTTCAAACACCCACGGAAACACGAGGCGCCAACCTTTGCAATTTAAATGTGGGAGCTATTGCCGGTTCATGTACGTCTCACAGCGCGGACGTCGACGGACGCGAAATAACCGTTCTCTCTGATCGCTGTCAGTGTGCCAGTCCTCCCTACACGACGAGTGAATTAGCGCCGCTGCCTGCGTCGGGGATAGTCTCTGAAAGGAGGAATACTGTACCTCTTTCACCGATCGGAACTGTTAGGGCGCTCCCGGGACGCGCATTCGGTACGAATCTAGCTATCTAGCTATCGCCGTACTGACTACGCTGTGTAGATTTCCGCGAGGTCGTCAGCATACGTAGCTTTCTAGATCTAAAGCTTGGCGACATGTACTTAAAGTCGACCTCGAGATTCGGGAGAGCAGGACACCATGTCTGACATCAAAGTCCGCAAGCTTGTGAACCCTTCTGGTATACCTCACCGCCCAGCGAGCGACGTCTGAAGAGCTGAGATGCCTTCCACAGAGAGCGACATCGATGAAGTCGCGAAGACCCTCGCGGCGGCGTTTGCGAAGGATACGTTCACAGTAGCTGTATGCGGTGGCGATACCTCGAAGATCTACGGCTTCGAACGAGCCACAGCAGCGGCCGCTGCTCTCGCGGGCGAGCTTTGGGTGGCCAGCTATGGCGAGCATGACTTCGCGTCTGTCGCAGTCTGGATTCATCCCGGCCGCGATTTGCTCGATAGGTTATAATTCAGAGCCCACTCGCTTCTGTATCTTACAGCTGAATATGCTACAGTTCAGATCAAAGGGATGCCGGATACAACCAACTGTTCTCTTCCTTTGAGCCAGAACTCGTCAAGTGGTGGATGGAAGACGTGAGTACTATCGATGGACTCCTTTATTTGACCGTACTCATAGATTCATAGTTCTTGCCACACTACGCGGAGGTGAACACGAAAGCCCTCGGGGATGGTACCAAGACAGCAAACTGGAGCCTGCAGCTAATTGGGACGTTGCCTGAGCTTCAACGTTGCGGACTGGCATCAGCGCTATGTCTCGCTATGGAAGAGAAGGTAGATCAAAGAACCCTGCTGATCGCACAAGATATACTGACAGAAATCAGGTTAAAGCTGAGAACAAGTTCATCACCCTTGAAGTAGAGGAGCCGAATAACGTAATGCCCAAGTATTCTGACCTTGTCTGCGTAAGACTAATTGATTATTGTTAGCTCCCGTTCTATGGGGCCATCGGATGGAAAGCGGTGTATGGACCGGAGCACTTCGATGCCACTGGAGGTCGGTCTTTCCCGATGTGGGTGCTTAGATCGTGAATGCTTGCAGATGTACGACGTGCACGGTGTTTCTATTGCTACATGCACAAGTCGTCCGAGATACTCGTTATACAGCTTGTTTCTTCCTGAAGGGAGCCGGAATGATGATTTCAAGTGGTGGTCGAGGGCTCGGTGTAGAATCCGAGCGCGAAAGCACTGGAAAGGCTCGATGAAACTAACTGAGTTCGATGACGAAGAAGGCAGGGTGGATGTACAGGAGAAGACTGTAGACTCGCCGAGGTCGCCGGCCTAAAAGCCTCAGAATACGTTGCCCAGCCCGCCGCGGTTCGGGCCGGGTTCGACGCATGGTAATATGATGGCATCGTGACCGTGAGATCGGGATCAAGGCGAACTTGTTGAAGGGTTTCGCGGTCTCCTCGCTTTGGCGCGCTTCCTGCTGAGCGCTGAACGGCCAACGTGCAGATTGCATAAGACCGAGTTCCCCTTGTGTCTACAAGCCGGTTCAGCTCGGCGATGTATCTCGCGCATCAATTTCCGCGGCCATTCTGTGCACACCGACAGCGTCCGCCGATAAAAGCTTCGGCCGTACAGAGTCACGGACTGCGTCAACTCACGATCCGTAGCCGCCTGCGCACAATTTTTGCCATATGCTGTTTGGCGCTCTTCTCGCGGCTACTTCCGTCTTAGCCCTGAGCAGCCTCACTTGGTATCTCGCCTTCCATCGGTTATCTCGATTCCCCGGTCCCAAACTTGCTGCTCTCACGGATTGGTACGCGACGTATTACGAAGTCGTGAAGGACGGTGGCCTTGTCACGAAACTCGCCAGTCTGCATGCCAGATATGGTACGTTGTGTCTCGAACAGAGTAATCTCATCTGATTATCTTCGCAGGTCCAGTTGTAAGGATTGCTCCTAACCGGGTGCGTATCCTTGTACGGACTACGGCCTTCATTCATTGACGTGCTACAGCTTCACTTTGCTACGCTTGAAGCATATACCGACATCTACGTGCGAGGCTCAACGTTCACAAAGGATCCCAGGTTCTACGATGGCTTCTGCGAGAAGGAGTCATCATTTGGCCATGTCGATCCTCGTGCCGCGAGGGCGCGCCGCGACGTCTTGTTTCCGCTGTTCTCGCGCAAAGCTATCCTGAATGCAGAGCAGATGGTGCTCCATAAGGTGTGTGATTACTAGGAAATGCCGCCAGATGTACATTGACGTCTGTAGGTGGAGGTCTTGCTTGATCGGATCCTAGAGAACGGACGCGATGGTGCGGCAGTGCATGTGCATCGTGCCTTACGCTCATTCTCGCTGGATGTTGTCATTGCATACTGTTTTGCTGATGAAGCATGCACCATTGACGCTAGTGGGTTCGAACACCCACTTGTTCTAGCTCAGGAGGCTCTATTCCCACGAGTGCTCATCTTCGCCAATTTCCCTTGGATATTCGATATCTTGACCTTCTCCACTCGCGCGATGGAGTGGATGAGGAGGACCTTTGGGGCGACTGATGGAGACTCCACTGTGGTCGCAGGTTTCTCAAAAGCGGTTCAACAGATCGACAGGCTACTGGCGGAGCCAGGAAGACTGGAGCTTGAACAACGCGAAACTGTCTTCCACCATCTCCTTACACCTCGCCCTGAGAAAGGCATCTACGGCGCCGTCCCGTCGCGTCAGAGCCTTATTGACGAAGCCGCCGCTCTAATCGGCGCAGGAGGGGATACCGTTGCAAACACAGTCGCCTTCGGTGCCTTTCACATACTCGAAGATAGCTCGGTCAGGACGAAGCTTGTGAGCGAGCTAGATCGCTTGTGGTCTGAGAGCGGATCAGTGGGATTGCAGCAACTAGAGAAGCTTCCGTATCTTGTATGTATCTCTCTTCGCTTAACAACGTCCTTACTCATACCAGTCACCGTCAGACAGCCGTGATCAAGGAATCTCTCCGCGTATCCCACGGCGTCGTGCATCCCGCGCCTCGTATAGTCTGCCCATCGGACACCGTCATCGATGGACACGTTGTTCCCGCTGGCGTGCGTCGATTCGTGCAGGAGTACGCGCCACCATAGCTGATCTGTCTGATATCCTAGAGCATCGTTTCCATGGGGTCAACCTTCGTCCACTTGAATGCAGATGTGTTTCCCGAACCACACTCATTTCGTCCCGAGCGATGGCTGCAACACGACGCGCCACGCTTAGACCAGTACTTGGTGGCGTTTTCCAAAGGTCAACGCAGCTGCTTAGGTATCAAGTAGGTTCTAGTATACCCGGGGGCTTCGGTTCGCGCTCATCGTTGCCATCAGCCTGGCGTGGTGTGAGATGTATCTTCTTTTCGGCTACCTCTTCAGGTTTCTCGATATCGAGATAGCCCCCGGTACTATGTACGTCACTGCAATTGCCGCGTCAGGTTACGCATGTTCTGACAACCTCTTCAGTGCAGACTACAGGCACTACAAGAGTCACTTCATCCCAACGATTCCCGAGGAACGCATGCTACGCTGCGTAGTACGGCGTCGGGCCGAGTGAACAGATCAGGAAGGCAGGACTAGTCTTATAAGTGAGGGTGGATCATGGCCGTGTACTTGCTCACCCGTCGTATGCACTGGCAACTTGCTGAGGTTATCAAAAGTTGCGTAGGAAGACGTAAGTTTGACTATGTATCGCAGTAATACCGACTACGACGTTCGCCGGTGCACACTTTCCCTACAGGAATACAATCAACTTGCAGCCACTCTCACAGTATCCTGCTCCATCCGCCCAGAGGGCATCTATCACTCGGACTTCGGCATCCAAGGCTTCTGACTTTAGATGAGCAGAGGTGCGGGTTTCAGGGTGACGATTCACGTACACAATCTGAGCCGGCCGCATCACCGACCGCAAGGCCGATCGACATCAGATATCATGATGAGCGTGCACGCTGAGCAGATTGCCACTCCGGGGACCCGCCGGAGGCTCGTGCTATCCCCGCCAAGGCCGGCGGCGCCTATCCAGGAGAATATTCTCTGACGAGCATTGCATAAAGAGGCGGCCTCAGCGGCCTCAACGGGCGAGGTGAGATCTGAGCGGACATGAGCGAAATCAGGGTTCGACGGCTCGAGAATCCGTCCGGTACGTTACATCGGAGACCGTGTCACTCCGTATGTGGCCGCTGAGGGTCCGAGATAGAGGCTGACATTGACGCCATTGCTAATGTCCTTGCCACGGTATTCGCTACCGATAGTTTCGCGATCGCAGTATGTGGAGGTGATACCACGAAGATATACGAGTTGGAGCGTGCAACTGTCGCGGCCGCGGCCCTCGCTGGCGAACTCTGGGTTGCCGCTTACGGCGAAGAAGACTTTGCGTCCGTCGCGACTTGGTTCCCTCCTGGGCGCACCCTGCTAGATAGGTATGCTGTAGCGCTTAACAGTGGGCTTCGCTATCACGACAATGATCTAGCCAAGACCAGCGCGAAGCCGGATACGACCAATTGTTCGCGTCATTCGGACCCGAGCTCGTCAAGTGGTGGATTGATGATGTATGTGCGAGTATGGCGAGGTAGGCTGCATCGCTGACAGACTACAGTTCTTGCCGCACTACGGTGTAGTCAGCGTAACTGCGCTCGGAGAAGGAACCAAGGCAGCGAACTGGAATCTGCAACAGATCGGGACGATGCCACACTTGCAGCGCCGTGGTCTCGCGACTGCACTTGTCAGTGCTGTAGCAAAGAAGGTACGAACAAGCTTGCGCTGCGTTTCTCTAGCATCTGACGTCAATATCCGGGGCACAGGCCGAGATGGACAAGAAGATTGTCACGCTTGAATCCGAGGTAGAGGAGAATGTGCGGAGTAGTCTGATACCACTCGTTGCATTGACGATGTTGACGGTTTGTCTTCAATAGCTCGCGTTCTACAGATCCCTCGGCTGGCAGGTGGTATACGGCCCCGAGTCCTTTGATGCCATTGAAGGTCGTACATTCCCGATGTGGGTTGTATCATCGTAACCCTCGGCGTTTCGGGTGTGGGGTGGTAAGATATTGATTGCGCATCATACACTACATCGAGGAATGGTTGACGACGCCAAATACTAGAGTTGAGGAGTCCCGTATGATACGAGCTGACGAAGCCGAGGGCAGGCAGGTGACATGGCGCGACTACCTGTAGTAGGTCAGATAATATACTGGGTCTCGCTGCAAAGCCCACGCACCGAGACATGCCCCAACTGCCTAAACCTGATATACCGCGTCCGGATCGGGATTCAGTCTTATACTGTCTAGAAGCACGTTGTCCTGCTTGACGAGGGCTAAGGGCAGCAGCGTTGCCAATTATTCGACAAGGTACGCAGAGATGTCGCCCAGCCGGACAAATATGACGAGCATGATGGATCACATAGCATCGCATTGAGCCACGGCATGAGCATGTCTACAGTCTTGACATATTGGGGTGGTCGCGCTACGTTTTGCGCCCACTCCCTCTGGTGATGATGTTGGAGGTCGAAGCTCACGAAACCGCGACGCGCCGCGCTGCGCTTCCACAGGCTTCCACCTTCCATCACGCCATGACGATGGCCAGCTGACGGCGGCGAGCCAATGTCTCTTGCTTCGAACATCGATCAGCACACGATTGTCGCACCAAAGTCAGGTTCTTTGTTCGTATCGACGCCCCACATACCAAGTCTGGCCTCGAAGTATAACGTTTTGACGTCGTCCATGCACACCTGAGCGCTTTTGCTCTGATCATCGCAGAGGCGGTGCGCTCCATGGCACTGTCCTTGTCATCATGCAAGCGCCGCGCAGTCCCGATGCAGTCGCGCACATGAGCACAAGTACATTGTTTCATGCGGTCGCGGTACGGGGATCAACAGGTCTGCGCTTCGCTCTGCCCACCACCATCGGCAGACGTGTTCCACCCGCGTAACTCCTGAGACCTGTCTAGTGCCACCATGGTCTTTCTTCGCTCAGCTCTGCTCTTGAGCACGGCCCTCTGCGCCGTTGCTCAGAATACAACACTTAAAGTAGCAGACCTTGGGGATGTGACGTACCAGTCCGACGTCAATCTTGATGTTGGTGTCACCAGCTTTCTTGGGATACGATATGCCGCGCCTCCTATAGGTACGAGATCTCATCCTCTAGGGAAATGCACCTGAACTGACACTCAATAGGCGACCTGCGCTTCCGAGCACCACAGGCTGCAGAGGTTACAGGCAGCCTCAACGCAACAGCTCAACCCGACGAATGTTGGCAAGGGAACCCTGGTTCCAATGCGACAACACCATACCGGTTGAGCAAACGTGACGTGGCTGCGCAAAATGAAGATTGTCTCTTCCTGAAGTATGGGCCGATTTGCATCGTTCTGCACGAAGCGACTATGAGCGCTAACCTTGTACTAGTGTGCACGTTCCGACTGACCTGGACCTGAGCTCTGGTGCCAAACTACCAGTGATCGTGTGGATTCATGGGGGAGGGTGAGTCCCTTATCCGTCGAGCTACTTGTTGGACTTGCCGTGCTTAATGACATTGCAGCTACGTCGTTCAGAGTGTCAGCATGTTCAATCCGGTGGAGACCTTCGTGCGCAACTCCAACTATAGCGTCATCTCCGTTCAGATGCAGTACCGACTTGGCCCCTTCGGTGCGTACGACAGCGTGTTCGGGACCCACAGAACATTGCTCTGACGAATGTTAGGTTTCATATCCGGCCAGGCAGTGGCTACCGATGGGGATCTGAACATTGGTCTCCGTGAGTAGCGAGGTCTTCGTTCTAGCATTGGGAGGCTGACCAGGCTTCTTCTTCATAGTTGACCAGCAACTCGCGCTACAATGGGTCCAGGATAACGTGAGTCAACCACTACCTCGCCCTGCTGGCACATCTGACGCCACAACATGATCAGATTGCCGCCTTTGGCGGAGATCCCAGCCAAGTCACAATCTACGGCGAGTCGGCCGGCGCAGGATCAGTTCTGCAACATATTGTCGCTCATGGTGGGAACACCCAACCACCCCTCTTCCGCGCTGCTATGATGGACTCTCCCTTTTTGCCTTTCCAGTACGCCTACAATGACCCTATCAACGAGGTACGCTCCTTATCCCGCCGGTGTGTGAATGAATGGACGCTTACTGCTCATGGTACAGGTCATCTTTGCGAACCTTTCTGCGCAAGTCAAGTACGTGCCATACATCACTGTGCTACTGCGTCTCAAGCTGACGTTTTTCTCCAGCTGCCCGGTCTCAAACTCCTCGTTGGAGTGTCTGCGGTCTGTCGATGCCGCAACTCTCGCTCAATACGCGAACGATGTAGAACTCGCGAACTTCTTCGGAGTGTACACCTATGTACCAGTCGTGGACGGAAGCTTCATTGTCGAGCGCCCTACCGTCACTCTAGGAAAGAACAAAACCAACTCGGTTCGTTTGAAGGGCCCATCTTCGTCTTACTTTTACTGAGTCGCCCCTTGTACAGGACACCTTGCTGGTTTTCACCAACGCCCACGAAGGCGATATCTTTGTGGATCTGGATGGTCTCGCAGAGACGAACGCGACGTTGGAATCATACATCGCGAATCTCTTCCCTCGTATGAACAGCACATCGATTACGCAGGCTGCCAACATCTACTCCACCTTGCCAGAAGGTTTGAACGCCAGCGCGGTTCCTGCGCAGGCAGCCTATGTCATGGGAGAAGCTATATTTGTCTGCCCAGCGTACTATACTCTCGAGGCATTCGAAGATAACGCTTGGAAAGTGAGTATGGCTCACTCTTCAACTGGTTGGCTTGTACTGATGATCTTCTTCAGGCTGAATTCGCTGTACCTCCCGCGCTCCACGGAGACGAGCTGTACTATGTGTTCGCTGAGTACGTCGCCGGTGTGCCGACTGTCCTGACTATTGCTGATCTTGGCCTGCAGCAATGCATCTTCCATCGGGTGGCCCGCGTTCAACAACAGCGACCTCATAAGTGCGATCCAACAGTCAATATTCTCGACCGCGATATCTCTCGACCCAAATGCGCATGAAGTGTCTACCATCACTCCCGAATGGCCGTCCTGGACCAAATCCGGGCAGGTTATGCTATTCAACGAGACTGAGGCTGAACAGCCGGAGGTGAAGCTTGTCGGGCCCGACTCGGCTCAACTTAAGCGCTGCGCGTACGTCCCAGACTCTTCATCGAGAGTCCCATCTGTACTGACTTGGATACAGCTTCTGGAGGTCTCTGAGTGATGTCAACGCTCAGTGATCACTTCCTACGGCAGTAGCTGCAGATGATTCCGGACTCGTACTCCCAGGACGCTCTTCAGCCTGTATCTCTATCTCCTGAATAATCAACCTGTGCTTTGCCTGCTGTATGTGGCCACTCGCGTTCTTCAGACCCGATTGTCTCGAGACGGCTCGTGTCTTCCATTCAGCCTCAGATATTGTAGAGGAGGGTGGCAAGTCACACGATGTGCAACCGAAGTACGACACTGACAGCCGCCAGTTGGCCGTCAGCGCAGCGATGCGTGCTTCAAAGTAGTCCCGACCGGTACATCACTGCCAGTCCGGGCCGGAGGCTGTAGTAAGTATATGAGTGGCACTTTGATTGCCGGATGATTGCCACGCACAGCGGCGTCTTCGAAATGCGTCTTGCTTATCACCTCCATCAAGTCCATCGCTGTGTATACATAGACGAAGAGATACCCCGTCTCGATGTCGCTAATCAACCCTCTGAATGAGCTTCTGGATGCAGTGGGCAACGACGCGGTGCGTTGAGAAACGCTCCCTTGCTTAGCCGCCCGACTGAAGCGCGTCGAATGCAGCTGCTGTTGCAAGCCAAATACGAGGAACATAGAGTCGAGAGGAATGCTCGGCAGGCCGAAATCATGACGTCGCCCTCTTTTCCTGGTGTTGTCGTTGATACGATTCTCCAGAAGCTCATCGACCCTACCCTCTCCCCTCCCTACATCGACGAACGCAATGGGGCATCGTTATGGGTACGGCCGCCTCAGCACATCCTCGACATCCTAGGCTCCATTCAACGCGACCTCACTGGATTCGCACCTCATCTGTGGCTTATGCCTCTGGGCGACGTCCACCTCTCACTCATAGAGCTTGGTCACCATATGGGTACAGAGGCCAATCTAGCGCTCATCGCCCATCTCGAGCCACACCTTCCCGAACTTCTATCTTACCCGCGCCTACATCCCACGCGACTCTACAGACCTACGCTATCTTGTGATACCGGGAGTCTAGTCCTCAAGTTTTTACCCGTCGCACAATCGCAGGATGATTACACGTATCACCATCTTCGTCGCGATATCTTCGACCGTGTCAGCGAAACAGGCCTTGTCATGAAACCCCGCTACGTCGTGCCTTCCGCACACCTCACTGTGGCGCGCTTTATTGACAACACCGACTTTGAGACCGACGGTCGTACCGATCAGGGCAAGATGAAGGAATGGTGGTCGCTTATCGATGGTATCAACGTTCGACTTGAGAGCGCTCTAGACTCGCGGCACGGCGGTAGGGATGAGGATGGCATGTGGCCCGTAGAGAAAGTCGAGTGTCGGTATGGTTCTCAATGGTACGGTGGAGGGGAATCTTGGCGCCCAGATACGACAGGCCTACAGACGACGTGACAGCCGACCAATACGACGGATAGATGTTCAATTCATTCTGCATAGGGTCCCTTAGACTACATACCCTGTTACCAAATCGTCTTGTGGATCCGGGCACCCTTACACTGCCTAGCGGACGTTAAGGCACAGCGCTCGTACCAATCTGATACGGAAACGACTGTTCCAGTGAGCGAGCCTTTTGGCTTAATTTATCCTGTAGAACTGTAGTACTACTTACTATACCCCTGTGAACGCAGGATCTCCTCTAAACTCCGCCTCAACCATGCTGCCCATCAGCCTCGTGGCGTCCGCGTGCGCCCGCCGATCAACGCTTCAGCGCCGATCCCATCATCGCATTCCTGTTCTAGCCACCTTCACGTCCAGCCGGGTACTACCCGGGCACTTAGTACGGCCTGGTCGTCTAGTCCGAAGAGTTGATTTGTACTCTTTGCGCCCCTTTCGGCGCGATTCCTCCCGTACAAGAGATATGGCTAGCTTCACAAGCACCAAAAAAACGGGGAACTCTTACCGAGCGCTGACTCGACTCGTATGCTTCGCTTGACTCTTCCTGCACTCTCCTGCACAGCCCTTCGCTTCAGTACCGATTTCCGGTGCAAATGCCATATTCCGGAACCGGTGATTCCTTTGTGGTATCGAAGAGTCATGGTCCGGGTCATGATAGCGTCGGCGTGGTTGACGCTCTTATATAGCGTGCCACTCACTTGTGGCTACTAGTTCATCTTCTCTTTCGCTTTCGTCTTTCTCCCCCCCCTCTCAGCGTCGAGCTCCGTCAAGATGGAGTCTCTTCTCCCGCTCACGCTCATCGAGCCCATACTATCTCTCATCACTGGAAGCAATGCCTTCAATGCATCAAACCTGCTCAACACTACCGCCCTCGCCGGCAACGGCACCACTGGAACCATGGAGATGCCCAAAGATGTCGCCGGCTTGATTGCATTCGTTTCGTCAAGCAAGGCGCTCTTCGACTACCTCAAAATCATCATCTTGGGCGCGATGCTCGAGATGCTTCGACGACTCTGGTCCTCTCTATCCTCCTTCAGTATCTTCGACAGGTTCACCCTAACGGCTAGCTTCGATAGCGAAGACATTTCATACGGTGAGTGGATAACGATTGCCTTGACTGCACAATCGCTAATAGTGGAACAGACTGGATGATGTACTGGCTCTCCACACGTCCGAACTGGAAATCGTTCCGAGAATACTCGGTCTCGACTCATACATTTGGCTTGGAGAACAACGGTGTTGAGCTCAATGATGAAGACGAGGAAGAGGACGACCCGACTGGTCCGCTCCGCAAGCGCACTCGCAAGGTCCACTACCTCCCTGCATACGCGACTGGCTACCGGTTCTGGTACAAGGGTCGATTGGTCTGGCTTTGGCGCGCTAAAGAAGAGAATTCAAGCCGATGGGGTTCCGACAAGAGCACCCTCATTCTCAAGTACGTTCGGTTCTCACACTCCTCCCTAGCGGCTCCTCAATGTACTACAGCATTCTTGGTACAAACCGACAGGTTCTAGACTCTCTGATCAAGGACGCGAAGGAGACATGGCTTAGTGCACGCAAGGATAAGGTCAGCACTCTTCGTCTTCTTGATATAACATCGATTGCTGATGTCACACGCCTCAACAGATCGACCTCTACGCCAATGAAAGCTACGGTGGTGATTGGCGCTTCGTGACTTCGCGTCCTCAACGGCCTATGGACTCTATCGTCCTCGATGCGGGGGTGAAGGAGCTCATCCTTGGTGATGCTCGCGACTTCCTTCGTAGCAAGAGCTGGTATGGAGATCGTGGTATTCCGTTCCGCCGTGGATACTTGCTCTGGGGTGTACCTGGCTCAGGAAAAACATCTATCATCCATGGGTTAGCCGGCGAGCTCGGTTTGGACATCTACATCGTGTCTCTAGCGAAGAGCGGACTTGATGATAGCACTCTGTATGTTTCATCTATTATCTCCGCGCACTGTTCAGAGTACTCATCAAACCCGATACAGCAATCAGCTCATCTCCAACCTTCCCGAACGGTGTATCGCCTTGATGGAGGATATCGATGCCGCATTCAGTGCTGGTCTGTCACGCGATGCTAAGGGTACCGAGCTTGAGGACCCTCGTAGCCGCGAGGCTCGGAGGCGTCGCGAAGAGCTGGGAGAAGACGACTACGATAGCGATAGCTCCGAGGCACACGGCGAGAAGAACAACAACTCTAACGGCACACAGTCACGCATCACTCTATCTGGACTCCTCAACGCCCTGGATGGCGTCTCTGCTCAGGAGGGAAGGCTACTGTTTGCGACAACCAACCGATACTCCGCTCTAGACCCAGCGCTCGTTCGACCCGGTCGTATGGATTTGCACGTAGAGTTCAAACTCGCTAGCGCCTTCCAGGCTCGTGAGCTCTACAAGCGGTTCTATCTCCCCTCTGCGATCCGTAAGGACGACACTACTCCTTCCGAGAAGGCGCCAAAAACCGAGGACGCGGATGACCACGAGAGTGACTCAGGATTCAGCGGCTCCCCAGAACGAAAGGATGAGGACCTCCCACTGTCGTCCTCGCAATCAGCTTCTTCCGCCGCAAACTTCAGCGTCAAGGGTGCCCACCACAGCTCGCGCATGCCAGTACTCTCCGTTGCACAGGTCGAGCGTCTCGCTACTCGCTTCTCCGAGGCCATTCCTGAGCGCGAGTTCTCCATGGCGAGCTTGCAGGGATATCTCATGAACTACAAGACTCAGCCGTCTCTGGCAGTGGAAGAGGCGGGCGCTTGGGTACAACAGAAGCGCGAGGAGAGTGAGCGTAAGGAGAGGATCGAGAAGGCACGAGCAGCGAGGAAGGCGGCCCGGAAGGCGAAGAAGGAGCAGGCGTCTAGTACGAAGAAGGAAAGCGAGGACACCAGTTGAGGGGAGATCGGAACCGAATTCGCGCCGGCCACCAGGTCCCGGACTTGTATCATAGTTTATCTACTTCCCCTATATACCCAATCACGCATGAAGCCTCGCATACCTAGACCTACAGCTGTCATATATTCATGATACATTTAAACACCGCCTACACACGCCCCCGAAGGAGTATGTGAGAGTCGAGTGTACCTGTGCCTCGTGATCTTTCTTTCGAGTCAGTGGAACCCACAGTCTAGTGTTGCCGTGATTTGACCTGGAATCGATACCGAATGGAATCGATTCGACTTTTCGCGTGACCCGGCCCCACTCAAATCGGACTCAAATCAGCCCAAATCGAGTCGGCGCCATCATCGGCGCGTGGCTGGTGCACGGCCACTGTGTGCACGGGCACGCCGGAGGATGTTGCGGCTACAGCAATAACTGTGCATGAGTTGCTCTCCATCTTGTGTGGTAGTCCAGCCTATGTAGTGCACAGTTCGTGCACAGTATACACAATCACGCTCTGAGTACGGAACCATAGTGGAAGACGCCGTGGTCAAGGTCTCCTCTAATAACCTCCCACTAACTCATCGGCCCGACACGTACAGACCGCTGAGCCCATTGTTCGCCGCATAGCGGCGCACAGATGGCCCCACCCCCTTCGCATGCGACGAGGTCGAGTTGGCAGCCGACTCAAATCATACCATGACGTCACGATTCGGCCATGATTTGTGATAGTTCCTGCAATCGGACTCAAAGCAAACTCAGCTCACGGCAACACTACGTGGCCGCGTTCAACCGCCTGCACGTGCCGCATGTCGGATCATCGGACCGCATTATTTGCTTCAACTTGTCCGCAACGCCCATGGACTCGCTGCTGGGTGGACCTTGCCCTTTACTTCTGTCCTCCCAACCCCCGGTCGGCGTGATTACGACACTCATGCACGATGTGGAATATACAACTCGGATGAATGCTCTTCCGGAGGTGCCCTAGATATTCGAGGGAACTTGTGGTGGTTTCTACGCGTCGCTGGTGTTCTCAAATAGCTGTGTACCAGCTCAAGGAGATTTATCATTTGGTCATCCACTGTGCTGCCGAATTACCTCGAGATGGATATCAATGGCGCGCAGCGAAGAACGATTGGTCATATCCCGCCTACGCGGTATTTGGACTCGGCGATAGCCTGAGGCCTTACTTCGCCCAGTCGGGGATACAGAGACTTGAAATTCACCGACCTGAACCGGAATACTGAAGCTACAAACACACTGCGGACACTTGCTGGTATAAAGCACATACGCCACCCTCTCTCTTCCTTCACTACCCAACGTCAGCTCGCGACCTCGAGATGTCGACAGCTCCCAATGCCACACCCGCGCTCTTCAGCCCCATCAAAGTGGGGAACATGCAACTTCAACATCGCATCGCACTCCCTCCTCTCACCCGCTTCCGCTCGGACGATAACGACGTACCGACCGACCTCATGGTGGAGCACTATGCTCAACGCGCAAGCACACCTGGCACACTCCTCATCGCGGAGGGGACGATCATTGCTCCTCAGGCTGGCGGGTATCCCAATATGCCCGGCATCTGGAATGATGAGCAGGTTACAGCGTGGAGGAAGGTACGTACGGGCTGCGATATCGTTTTGGCTAGCTGGGACTGAACCTGTGAGTGTCGCGTAGGTCACCGATGCTGTGCATGCGAAGAGCAGCTTCATCTTCCTTCAACTCGGCGCATTGGGAAGAGCAGCTGTCCCGACCGTACTGCAGAATGCCGTCGGCGGCCCATACGACCTTGTCGCACCCAGTGCGATCCCCGTTGATAGCGATAGTCCGATCCCACGAACTCTGAGTATGGAGGAGATCAAGGAGTACGTGCAACTGTACGTTCAAGCGGCGAAGAATGCTATCCAGGCCGGCTTTGACGGTATGTATCCATTATTATACGTCGTACACACGAAGCTGACGCAACCCTAGGCGTTGAGATACTCGGAGCGAACGGCTACCTCGTCGACCAGTTCTTGCAATCCAACTCCAACGAGCGCACGGACGAGTACGGCGGTAGCATCGAGAACCGCATCCGCTTCGTGATTGAAATCGTCGACGCTGTCGCGATTGCGATCGGCCCTGAGCGCACGGCGTTGAGGCTGAGCCCATGGTCAACGGCGCTCGCTATGCGCATGGCCGACCCGATCCCAACATTCAGCGCTCTCGTCAAGCACCTCGCAGCGCACCAGCCCCATCTCGCGTACCTGCACTTCATCGAGCCGCGCGTCAATGGAACGGAAGACGCCGAGCTTGTCGGGGAGAACGACAGCAACGACTTCGCACGCGGAGTCTGGAGTCCGCGGCCGCTCGTGCTTGCGGGCGGGTTCACGCGCGAGACGGCGTTGAATGCGGCGGAGTTAGGGGAGAAGAATGTGATTGTTGCGGTGGGGCGGTGGTATACGTCGAACCCGGATTTACCGAGGAGGTGGATGAGGGGCGTTGAGCTTACGCCGTATGAGAGGGCGACGTTCTATACGAAGGGAGTGAAGGGGTATAACGATTGGGGGATGTGGCGGGAGACTGTAGAGTAGGCCTGTCAGTTGTCGGCCGTTTTGGAGATCATCGATACCCGCATATCTAACTGGGTCCTTCACTTGATGTCCCGCACGTTCAGAACAGCTTATGAATGGTATGAATGTCGAGTACTGTGAACACATAGGCATCGACCGCGAAAAGGACAGCACAGCTCTAGATACAAACAACGGCTTCTGCGCGCACAAACATGACATCATCCCTACTGCAAGATCTCTTGCGAGAACGCCCAATCGCTGTAGCCCTTCGCGCCCTTGCTATAGAACGTACTCCGATCATACGGCGTAAGCACCGTATCCAACATCCACCTCTTCGGCAGATCAGGATTCGAAGTAAAGTGCCTCCCCACCGCAACAAGCGTATTCTTCTCCCCCTTTTCCGCCTCCTCTATAGCCGTCTCCCGATCGAACCCTCCAGCGAGAATGAGCGGACGCGGGCTCCACAGCTCGCGCGCAAAGTCGTTGCTCTCGTCGTCGGTGAGAGGCTCAGCGTCGGTGTTGGCGCTGATGCGGGGTTGTATGAAGTGGAGGTACGCGAGGCGCGGCTGGTGCTCGATCAGATGCTTGATGAGCGCGCTGAACGTTGGGATCGGGTCGGGCATGCGCATGCCCTGGAAGGTCGACCATGGCGAGAAACGCATCGCAACGCGCTCGGGACCGATGGCAGAGGCCACGGCGTCGATGATCTCGGCGGCGAAACGGATGCGGTTTTCGGGGCTGCCGCCGTAGGCGTCCGTGCGCTGGTTTGAGTTGGATTGGAGGAATTGGTCGACGAGGAAGCCGTTTGCGGCGAGGATCTCGACGCCTGTCGGGCAGTATGCAGTCAGTGATCGTCATGAAGAGAGGTCTTGGTGCACGAGCATACCGTCGAAGCCTGCTTTCATAGCATCTTTGGCTGCCCGCGCGTACTGCTGCAAGTACTGCTTAATCTCTTCAATCGCGAGTGGGCGCGGCACCGCACGTCCCTCTGCGATTGGAATGGCGCTGGCGCCAACGACCTCGAAGGGACCACCGGGTATAGCTGCACGGCCCATGGCGCCGAGCTGTAAGAAGATGAACGATCCTTTGGCATGTACAGCTTCGGTGACCTGTCGCTCGTCAGCCATCGTTAATCTGCAGAAGGAGCGTCTGGCGCACCTTCTTCCAAGCAGCGATCTGCCCATCGTCGTAGATACCGGGCATGCTAGGAAAGATACCCGCTTGGAGCGATATGGGCGTCGCCTCCGTGACGAGCAGCGTGCCAGGCGTGCTGCCGCGCTGGGAGTAGTACTCGACTGCGATGTCGGTGTGCGCGTGCGCTTCGTCCGCGCGGAGGCGGGAGAGCGGTGCGAGGACGACGCGGTGCTGGAGCTGCATGTTGCCCACTTTGAAGGGCGTGAAGAGGGTTGGGAGCTTGGTGGAGGACATCTTTGAAGTGCTTGTGCTGGCTGAGTGTTGCTGTTTGAGGAGTGCGGATAGTGGTTTGGGTTATATACCTCGTTGTGCTGCTCGAAGGGAGATCTGAGACGTACAATGACGGGTGGTCAGTGACATAGTAGCGGTAGTGAGGTGGATTCAGCGTACCAAACGTATAGCTCGAGTGCGGCCATTCATCACCAGAGACGCTTCGGTGCCTGAGAACTGACAAAGGCGAAGTTGAGATGTTGAGACAATCATGTAGCGAGACTGATACTTGCCTGGAAGTCGACATCGTACCCAGAGACGAGATAGTCTTCCGGTAGAGCTCATGCCGAGCCAGTCACATATTCAGAGCAGTATACCGTACCCTTCGAAGCGTACGTGTTACCGCAATCATATGCTGAAGAGCATACCAGTAAGAAGTATTCGCCAAACTTCGCTGCAGCTCATAGATAGTCTACCGGACACAGAACCGGGGTCGGTTCGTGAACCGCCCTGTGCCGACTTCTCAAGCGACGCAGAAAGCTGCGTACGAGTCACCAAAGAGCCCGGGAGCAGCAGAATTGAATGGGTGAGCGAGCGTGAGCGAGAGCCACAAGCCTCCGCGATTAGTGAAGCATGCACGTGAGCTTAGCAAGCCAGCACGGTTTGTTGATAAATGCTTGATGGAGAAGGTCCATGGGCGCTGTGTATGTACGGCGTGCTCTCTAGACTCGTTCCCACCCCTCTCGCAATTTGATCGCGCTGATGAGGCAATATGAGGACGCGCGAGCTTGCGAGCGGACTGGGGCGCTCCGTCGTCGTTTTGTGCGGGCGTCGTTTTGCCAGCCAAAACCAAAATATTACTTAGCGTAGAGAGCCTGTGGGTCGATAGAAAATGTCATTTGGGTCAGTAAATAAAAGTTGCTCACCTTGAGAAATGGAGTCGAATGGTATAGGCAAGTTTTGGACCGATTTTTGAGCTCAGAGTAGTGTCTTAGCGAGAGGGGGTCGAGAGGGAGGGGAAGTTGGAAGAGCAGCCGCGGCGCGCGCCCGAAGGGCGCGCCGCGGTCATGGGGAGGCTGAGGTGTGCACCTATCAAGGCGGTTTGGTGCAGCGGGGCGGAGCGCTGCCTGGTTCGGCATTTTTGCGCCGGGAGGCGCGGGGTTCGATTCTTTCGCTCGGTCTGCAGTCTGTGGTACAGGTACGAGCCAGTGACGGTCCTCGGACACTCGAAAAAGTGTGCGGCTATAACAGGCATGTAAAGTACAGCTTCCATGGCCCCCTTTTCTGGTTCTTTGCGGACAGAAAGAGCAGACAGCCTGTAATTACACTGCAGAGTCGAACCCCGCGCCTCCCGGCGCAAAAATGCCGAACCAGGCAGCGCTCCGCCCCGCTGCACCAAACCGCCTTGATAGGTGCACACCTCAGCCTCCCCATGACCGCGGCGCGCCCTTCGGGCGCGCGCCGCGGCTGCTCTTCCAACTTCCCCTCCCTCTCGACCCCCTCTCGCTAAGACACTACTCTGAGCTCAAAAATCGGTCCAAAACTTGCCTATACCATTCGACTCCATTTCTCAAGGTGAGCAACTTTTATTTACTGACCCAAATGACATTTTCTATCGACCCACAGGCTCTCTACGCTAAGTAATATTTTGGTTTTGGCTGGCAAAACGACGCCCGCACAAAACGACGACGGAGCG